AAAGGCAGCTACACCTCTCCCAACTTGGGTCCCGATTTATTCCAGCCAACTCTTGGCTCCTGGTCATCAGACATCCCTGTTCCCCCTCTGCCTAAACACAACGGGTTTCCTGAGGTCCAAAGTCTCGTGGGAGCTGTTAACACTTTATGCATCTTGACTGCCACTCTGTTATCTAAACATGAGGTCAAGAGCAAGGCCGTCCGAGGACGCAGCTCCAGCCACCGAAAGAGAGGGGGCAGAGCCAGCACTCAGTCTGCATTGATCCCCCTGGTGGCTGCAAAACTCTGCTTATAGGCCAATTTTGTAATGCCCCCAGTTGGCGTACTGCAAAATGAAACGAAAGTATCAAGAACAGTAATATATCTTCCAAGAGTTACGGATGTCTACCCCGTCCACCTCTCTTAGCCTGAACCTGAGTTGTTGTCCACAAGAAATTCCTTTCTAAATCAGAGATAAACTTTGTATCATGAAACACCACTCACAGCCACATCAGTCCAACCTGAGCCCACCTTTCTCTCTTGACCTGCGCTCCTGGACCCCACGGCTCACACAGTGTGGCCCTCCGGCATTATCGCCTCAGTGGGGTCTCACACGAAGAGGTGACGGGGCCGCAGCTTGCTCAGCAGATCTGTAGGGGCCATGCTTCAGGGAGGCCCTGCTCCCGAGGTGACGGGGAGCTGGGGGCCACTGGGGGTGCACTGGTGGCAGGCGGTCCCCACGAGCGCACCCACCAGGAGCACCAGTCAAGTGCAGCCTGTAGGGGCAGAGAGAAGCCCCACGTGGACCCCGGGACCCCACTCCCACCAGCCCCTCCTGTGTGCGGGCGAGCGGGCAGCCTCATGCAGAGTGCTTAACCACCGACCTCCGCCCTTAGGGCTGTCTGTCTGCAATTAACATGCATCTTTCTAGAGGTTTGGATGAAACCAAAGGCCTAGCTTTTACTTTGGAGAATACGGTATATTTTTATAATAAAATTGTTAAAGGAAATTGCATTCTATCTCTTTCTTCTATTCAATTTTAAAACGTTGAGCCACTTGGGGAACTGTAGGTGTGTGCACCAGCAGACAGGTTCAAGGAAGTCCGTGTCATTATTACTCTAATAACCAAAGCCAGGGAATAAGCAGGGAATAAGCCGCCTGCCAAGGGGACAGGCTGTGGGGCACCGGGGAACACGGGGCCAGCTGTGCACAGGCTCTGCAGCGGTGGCGGCACTCGTTTCAGCTCATGAATCAGTGATATTCCGCCAAGGGGTCCGGATTGGCGGGGATGGAGCCTCTGCGTCAAGCCCCTCTCATCCTCCTGCAACCAGCCTGCACATGCGGGTCCCAGGGCGGCGGTGGTCGTACAAGAGCTAACCGGCCCGCCTTCACAGCAGGCCTCCAAGGTTGTACGTCACTCCTGCTATTGTCCTCTTGGCCAAAGGCAGTCAGACAACCACAGCCATGGCAGGGAATTCACCCAGCCTCGCGGGGAAGGCACTGAAAGTTTACGGGCCCAAGGGTACGGGACCCAGGGTGGGAGCGGGGTGGTCAGTTCACCCACATGCATATAAGCTGTGATATGGTCACATGGTGGACTACTGTACAGCAGTGAAAAGGAGAGACCAGCTGCTAGTCACAAACGTAACAGTGAGCAGAAGCCAGACTCTAAAGAGCTCACAGGTGCAACTCCATCTGTACGAGGTCCAACCGTCACAACTAAGGACAGTGTCACAAGTCAGGTGGTGGTCACCTTCTGGGGGCAACGACAGGAGTGGGCATGTGGAGGGTCTCTGGGTGTCTGTGGTAGTCTGTTTCTTTATCAAGGTCGTGGCTACACTTATGTCTTCCCATGGTGAAAATCCTTGCAGGACACACGATCTGTGCATTTTATGTATTTGTCATGCTTCAATTAAAAAGTCAATTTGAAGAAAACTGAGCTTTCCAGGGAGTATGTCTCACCAAGTGTGGATAAAAAATGAGAAGACATTTAAACCGTGAATGTCTTACAGCTGATGCTCTCGTGACGATACCCAGAACGGCAGTGAGACTGTGAGACACTAAGTTCCCTTTGTTTCAGCCGCCAGGTGTGGGGTACCTGTCATGGCAGCTGTGACGAGTAAGTCCACCTCCCCACAGCCTCGCCTCTGTTTCCTATCCCAGGAAACGGTGCCCACCCACCTGCCGCCTGGGCCCAACACCTGGACTCCAGTCTTCTCCCTCCGTTCCCTAGTCCCCCCTTCACTAGGTCACCACATCTGATCCATTTGCCCCCCTGAACGTTTCCAGGACCCACTCACTGTCCAGCTGACAGTGAGTGACCCTGGCCCAGGCATCCTGGAGAACAACCCCCAGCCATCCCACGCCACGCCCTGTCCCCCACACGGAGGGATGCTCCTAGAGTCCAAATTTGAGATCACTTCCTGGCTTAACCGCGCAAGGTCCAGGCTGTGGGGCCAGGTCTTTCCTGATGGCCCATGAGACGCCCCGCCCCAGGACCCGCTGGGTTCCGCCTGGCCACGCCCCTGGTCCCCGCCCAAGGCCCCGCCTTCCCGCTTGGCCACGCCCCGAGTCCCCGCCTCAGGCCATGCCCGGTCCCGGCTGACCTTGCGCCCCGTCTCCGCGACCCGCAGGCGCGCACGCGCAGTTCCCCTGCAGCGGCGCTCACTCTGCCCAGAGCGGTAAACTGCCCGCCGTTTCCCAGGTCAGACCTCGCGTGTCTCAGCTTGTGGGTGGGGGGCCTGCGGCCCGGCCAAGCCGCCTCACCGCTGCAGTGACCCATCGTCCCTCCCAGGGCCCAAGGCCGCTGTCTCCCGGCGTCTCGGGGCCCTGCCCGTCCATCACCAGCGCTCAGGGAACAAGATGGAGAGACTTCCAGATCTGAGGGACGGGCAGGCCCGGACGAGCTGGGGAGGAGGAGGGAGGTTCCCGTGTCACCAGCCCGAGGCCGGGCGCAAGGGCCCCGCGCGGGCTGCGCAGACTGAGCTCCGTGAGGCTGGCGGCGGGAGTGAGCCGCGTGTGATTGGGCGTCACCCTGGAGGCAGTTCTTCAGGGGAGTCGATAAGCTCAGACTAAGAAGAGTCTCCTGGAGGGTGGCGCGGGGCAGAGCAGGCAGGGGCCCAGGAGTGACGGAGCCCGGGAGTGACAGGGAGTGACGGGGGCCCGGGAGTGATTGAGGCCTGGGAGTGACGGGGGCCCTGGGCAACGTGCGTCCTGGGCAGAGTTCCCCGCCCCGAGGGAGCGCAGATCAGGGGCAGGTGGGGTCTCCGTGGAGGACGGGCAGCGGGGCTGGTGCCCAGCTCATGGGCCAGGATGAGGAGGGCAGTGGAGTGGGGCTGGCTCTGACACTGGCAGTGACCGTCCACACGAGGCAGGGCTCCTCGAGGGCGACCTGGTGGGCACGGGACAGGGTCTCATGACTGGCGGTGGGAAGGTCAGACACTGACTTCATGGACAGGAGCAAGAACACAGACCAAGAGGCGACTTTCCACAGCCATCCATTTATTATAACACATCTCATCAGCGCACATGATTCCAACAGGAAATATACTTAGCAAAGTTGGTTTAAATATTGTGTAACAATCCAGGGTATAAATATATGTATATACAAAATTTTACAAAGACATTAAAAGGTTTCTGACCAATGAAGTCCTGAGTTTAGAAAGCAGAAAGTAAGGATTAAATAGTGAACATCAAGATAAAAACTACCAAAGTAATACTGTAGGAAGTTCCTCCAAGAGGAACAACCTTCAGGAGAGGTCCTTGTCTGTACACCTGCTCTTCCTAAAACCTGACAGCAAAGAGCCACTTGGCAGAGCATTGACTATGACAAATGCATATGGACCCTCAGAGCGAATACAAGCTCAAATGCCAAAAAGAAAAAAGAAAACAAAAGCACATTTTTTAAACTGCACCGTTTTAAAGCACCTGAAAACACATGGTTCATTAGCATCATAAGTAATAACCAGTCACTGTGTGAGAATAACTCTGCCAAACGAGAAAGCCATCCAAGGTGCCCCGGCACTGACTCCCACAGCCGTTCCAGGCTCACAGCATGTCTGCACGTGCGGGGGACAAGGGGGAGATCCGGTTACTCAAAATAATTCTTGCCCAAGACCTGCTCGACCTCACCCACACCAGGTCACTGGGTATCTCTTCAGTTTACACACATTTCTGCAGCCAAAAATGTCAAACAATCTCCTTGAGGGATGAGCCCCAAAGTGCAATATGACCTCTATTACCTGATTGTAGATAAAGGTTTTTTTAAGTTCAGAGATATAATAAGGGTCTTAAATCTTCATCAAATCATGCACAAACTCACTATGTCTTCATCAGACAAGAGTTATCAAGAGAAGAACTGGCCTCTGATTCCCCAAGCCCATCCAACAGTTGAATTAATATTCAATCGGTTTGAAGTTACATTCACACAGCCCCTAACACGAAGCCCCTGGCAGATAAAGAAGTGAGCTGGCATGCCAGGTTATTAATATAAATTATACTATATTAGGAAGCTACTCATAATTTGCAAAGAAAAAGGAAACTGTCCTGAACACACCATTCAGAATGGCAACCAGTTAATCTTCCAAGAAAAGGGTTATAGATTCAACAAGGCAGGTTAAGCTGCCCTGGTTAGACTTGCTTTGGCAGCTTCACCATAAAACTCATCGTAGCTACTGTATTTACAAGGGAGTGAAGATACAGGCATGAAGGTGTCCACTCACAGGAAATAACTTATCCCCAGTCACCACAGTCCCCATAAGAACCCATACACACAGGCTAGTGAGCCAGCCCCAGACAGCACACCCGTGTTAAAGACGAACATCGACATTTCCAGGCAATGGACAAGGACCACTCACTTGGTTTTGAATCCCAATTCTGTCTGATTGCCACGAGACTCTGACATGGTAAGTACCTGTCTTACATCGTCTGCAGGGAAGCCTGCGGCTGCACATTCAGGCATCTAAAATCAGCGTCAACACCCAGGAGGAGGCCGCGCACGGACTGGCCGGCTCTGGAGTGGGCTCACTGCTCTCTGGCGGGAGGAGACCCCTCCCTGGCGCCCTCCCGGGTGGGCAGCACACCCTGCTCCGAGCCGCCCGGGGCCGGGCCCGGGAGCTCGTACACCCGCTTGGGCACTCCTCGGGTCCTCTGGGGGCCAGGCCTGTCCGACCCAGGCTGCTCTCGTCCTGCTGCTCTGGGACCCTGATTGCAAGCTTCCCAGGGCCCCCACAAACCAGGTCCTTCTTCAAATTCAAAACCCAGGAGCAGTGAGGTGGCGCAAGACTCCAGCTCCCGGTGGCCAGCTCGGGCCCTGCTGTCCTCAGGGCACCCGCTCTGGTTGCCGTGGAGACCCCGGGCCGAGCTGCATAGACGCTGCACACAGTCTTGGAGGAGGGCCAGGTCCCCGCGGTGCCCTGTGCAAGGAGAGGGGAGAGGTGGTCACCTCACCATCCCTTCCCAGGGAGTCGGCTCGGAGATGTGACCCGAGACGTCTAGCCAAGCGACCCACTGGGACAACTCCAGGCAACTTAAGGGCATTCAGTGCATCTGTTAAATAAGCAACTTGTTCTTCAGGATCTAGTAGTTTAGGCAGAGGAACTTACAGATATTAAGTGGGAATTCAATCATACAAGTTCCTACAAGTCAACAATGCCAGCGAGGGGCACTGATGAGGCCTCAGCGAGTGAATCAAACTAGAAATGAGATGTTTGAGGTTCCTCAAACTGTCAACTCCTGATTAACCACAAATTCCATGTGCACTACATACCTCTCAGAGCAGAAATAATAACTTGAATAGTTTGCTCTAAGCCACATTTTAACTTCAAGAATTCTTGGGCAAGATTAATCATCTTCTTCAAATCTTCACATTCAGAATTTTCTTCTTGTACTTGAGTTCTGAAGCTTTTCTGCATAAAAAAATAGTTTAAAAAATACATAATAGGTTACATGGAGGGAAAGCTCAGTCAAAATAATTTTAATTGCCAGAATTTTACCTTCAAAATGACAGTTTAATTTCAAGACCAAAATGTGATATGAACAATTACTATATTCAAAAGAAACAAAAACTTTCAAATAATTTAAAAATCAAAGTCCAATTTCCTATTTTATGAAAATGAAATAAAACAATAGTACCTACTGTTTACTACCCAATTATCATAAAAGATTAATTTGTTTAATTTTTAAGAGTTCAACTTTATATCTCCTGCTTATTTTAACATTTTCAAGCTATAGAAATTTTGATTCCATATTTAGTTTATATTTTTCTATTTACCTGAGACATGAGTAAAATAATTTGTCTAATTTGCCTATATTTTAAAATCTTTGAGCATACTGATTATTAAACATAATTTTTTAGCCTATAGTGATTATTCAAGCAAAAACTGACAGCAGCAGAAAGAAACAGGCATGACACATTAATACACTCAGTGTCTGCACACAATTTCATCCATCACTAAACCAACCAAGTCAGACACCAAGAGGAAGATGCCTGAGAGTTCCTGCACCTGCCTGCTTCCAGTAAACAGGCAGAGAAGAGTCACCAGCAAGCGACAGAAACTAAAACTAAAAAGCACATCCACGCCGGAGCGCAGTGAGATGAAAAACACACTCAACAAAACCAAACACGAAAACAATTAAGAGCTTCTCTTACTGTTTTCCATTCAGCAAAGAGGTTTCCGAGGGATTCGATCAGTCCCAGGGCATTAGCTTTCATCTGTTTGGTAACCTACAGAGAATGTTAAAATATTATACAAATAACTGTTTCAGTTCAGTCAGTTCAGTTGCTCAGTCGTGTCCAACTCTTTGCAACCCCATGAATCACAGCACACCAGGTCTCCCTCTCCATCACCAACTCCCAGAGTTTACTCAAACTCATGTCCATCAAGTTGGTGATGCCATCCAACCATCTCATCCTCTGTCATCCCCTTCTGCTCCTGTCCCCAGTCCTTCCCAGCATCAGGGTCTTTTCCAATGAGTCAACTCTTTGCATGAGGTGGTCAAAAGTATTGGAGTTTCAGCTTCAACATCAGTTCTTCCAATGAACACGCAGGACTGATCTCCTTTAGGATGGACTGGTTGCAATTCCCTGATAGCTTAGTTGGTAAATAACTGTTTGCTGCTGCTGCTAAGTCACTTCAGTCGTATCCGACTCTGTGCAGCCCCATAGACGGCAGCCCATCAGGCTCCCCCGTCCCTGGGATTCTCCAGGCAACAACACTGGAGTGGGTTGCCATTTCCTTCTCCAATGCATGAAAGTGAAAAGTGAAAGTGAAGTCGCTCAGTCATGTCCGACTCTCAGCGACCCCATGAACTGCAGCCTACCAGGCTCCTCCATCCATGGGATTTTCTAGGCAAGACTACTGGAGTGGGTTGCCATTGCCTTCTCCGAAACTGTTTAGAAGTATAAAAATCCTGGCATTCTATGGGATCTGCCAGGGAGAAGCGTTTTCGTCCAGTAGTCATGAGGTTGGGGATCAGTTACTGAGACTACAAGTAAGTAGCCAGAGTGTCCAAGTCACAGAAGTGGACTTTCTTTCTAAATAAGTTGCACACTGGTCCGACGTTAAATGTGGATACCCAAGTCTTCCTGCTGGTCCAGTGGTTAAGTGTCCATCTTGCAATGCAGGGGACACTGATTCGATCCCTGATCCGGGAGGATCCCACATGCTGCAGAGCGACTAGGCTCATGTGCCGCAACTGCTGGGCCCCGGCTCTAGCACCTGGGAGCCGCAGCTGCTGAAGCCCACTCACCTAGACCCTGTGCTCTGCAACCAGAAGCCCACACACTGCAACGAAGAGCAGTCCCCATTCCTCGCAACTAGAGAAAGCCCACGCGGCAACAAAGACCCAAAAATAAAAAAATAAAACTATATAAAAAAAATTATAAAAACAAAACTAAATAAATAAACAGTAGTTCCCATTCTCAAGTGGAAAAGCAGAGCCCCAATCAGAGGGGGAAAAGGAAAAGCGGAGCGTGGCCGCTAGGTCACTGACACACTCCATCCGCGGTTTCGTCCGCGGCTGAATCTCCGGCAACAACCGCGGCCCAGGCAGGACCCACAGGGTTAACCTCACGAGCGGCTGCTGTGACTCAGGTGTGAAATTGGGATAATCACCAGGAGTGAGGATGCCAACAGCATTTTCAATAAAAAATAACCCAACTAAAATACATAAATTAAAAATAAAAATAAAATATATAAATTTATAAAGACCTCATTCACTGAGTTAAACTATCTTTAGAAGCCAATTTTATCTACTCTCTGGTACCATACAGGACATTCCTTTGCTTGTCTTACCTCATCCTGGGGACTCTGCCTTAGGAGTTCATGCTCAAGCTCTTCTGCTTTTTCTAGTCCAGAATCGAGGAGACTCTTTATTCCCAAGTCTACACCATCACAAACGGCACCCACAAAATCATCCTAGAAAAAGTTTTTAAGCGTTAACTGGCAAATTCAATTTCTATATATATTTTAAATTATCAAATAATTAAGTTAAATATTCTGCTTATTTTAGGACTGTGATACATTCCTAGTTTATTAATTCAACTAAAGCTAGAATAAGAACAGTATGTAAGAAAAAAAAAAAACAGCAAGTCTGTACTTCTATATTCTACATATATTGTAAAGAGTGTTTATCATCTTAGATAGGACACCATGTGGCTAGAACAAACATTTTAATATAACACTGTGTTTTCAGTAGCATGAATAATTAAAGCAAACACACATTTTCTAGAATCACACGCCAATGTAATTATGAATACACTCTCCGTGTTGGCTGGCTGAGCACCCACCCTCCAGAGCAGACGGGAACCATCAAGCCAAAGACCCAGAAGGTACAGGCAGGATCCCAAATCATTGGGTACATTTATCCACTCAGACTGTAACAGCTTTCATCTTCTGCTAAACTAGTAAGGTATGAACAGCTCTAAAAGTAAACACTTCTCCTGCTTCGTGGCCCCTTGACAGGAAACGCTGCTGCTCCCTGAGACGAAGGCTGTCACCACGAGTGAGCACGGCCCGTTACCTGCAGGCCGGCGGCCCCATGAGCACCGCTCTCCAGGAAGTGCAGCCGGTCCCCGGTAAGAGCCGCTGACCACCCCACGCATGCGACGGCTCGGTGTATGGTTTGGATCACTTGCTTTTGAGCCTCTTTGACCATCGGTGAAATATCCGAAGAACATCCCTGTAAGACAAAAATGGCCCAAGGTGTCAGATACCTGAGATGATGAGGGGAGGGAAGGACAAGAAGACCAAAGAAAACGGGTTCCGCGCCCACTCCCACAGTGGCTGTGCTTCACAAGAGTCTGATCAGAACCACAGAGCGTGCAGCCCGGCAGCCTCTGACAGTGAGGACGAGAGGAGGACACAGGGGATCCTCGAACAGCTTTTGCACCAACAGACAAGCAGGCCGCAGCGAGGTGTGCGGAATTCAGATCAGTCAGCGAAGGAGAGCTACATGGCTCAAAATAGCCTGGAGTTAAAACTCCCCTCCAGGTCCTCCCCACCATTCTATGGAAAACAAAGAACTCTGTCACCCCAAGGAAAAAAAAAATTAAGGTTGATTATGCCCAGCTCCCAGCTGGTCCAGCCTCTGGCAGACCTCCAAAATTCCTTGCCTCAGCCATTTAAGAGATAACTACTCCGAACAACCATGGAGAGGAACAGGCCCCCTTAAGACAGTAGCTTTCCACATATATGCCCATATATACCTCCTCTTTTCGTGGGTTAATGCAGCAGCTCACTAATCTGACTGCTGCCCCTTTTCGCCTCATTAAAGGTGGTCTATTCCTGTAAAGTGCCGGTCTCGTTCTTTTTCTGAACCTTGCCTTCTCTAACTCCGTACCCTACAGTCAGCGCAGCAGAGTCCCTCCCAGGAGGTGCCTGACATGACAAAGAGCCCACTAGATGAGAGGACTGGGAAGGCCTGGGAGGCACCAGAGGGTCTGGCCAACATCTAGAAGCTTCGCTGTCTCTCGGGGTTTCCACTTTGGCCCCCTGGATGTGTGGGCGTCTCTCGGCGGAGGTCTGGGCATTGGCAGACTCAGGGCCTCTGCTCCCACTTCCCCCTCCTCCATCCTCACCGGGCACAAGGCTGCTTGAATAAAAACGCAGGTCCCAGGGACCCCGGCTCCATATGTGATGACGCTCTGGCCAAAGATGTGTGAATAGAAACGCCACATGACCATTTCCAGAAACCTCCCTGAATGAAGAGCCCCCAGGCCCCAACATTCTTTGTCCCCTCTCCCATCCCACGCACCAACCTCCCCTGGGGCCCTGCCATGGAGTGGACATGAAGCTTGGGCCAGCCACAGGCTGCAAGGGAGGAAGTGGGGCCCCAAGGCAGCCAAGCCCACCTCCAGATGTTACGAGAGAAAGGAAGCTTCTCTCTTACATCTTTCTACAGCCAAACCTCATCTAAGGGAAGAGACAACAGAAATACTCTTTGCCCTGGGTCAGCAGGCTTGTGACTGACTCACCACCTTTGACCAGAAGGATGCCCTGCCCCTCCCCAGCCCCAGAGCGAGGCCCCGCCCCCTTTCCCAGCCCCAGAGCGAGCCTCCGCCACTCCCCTGGCCCGCTGAGGCCCTGGGGGTCAGGAGCACTCTGGACTCAATGCTATGGCCTAGCAGTGGTGAACAGTGGACACATCCTCCCTGGCCCTCCCTTCCTTTCTTAAAAAGGGGACAAACCAGTGCACACGTCTAGGGCTGCAGTGAAAACTAGAGGAGTGAACATTCATAAACCACACAGCACTGCCACAGCCTGGCCCACAGAAAGCCCCGGAAGTCCTGGTTCATTAAGTCAAGTATTAAACATCCAGTCTACTGATTTCACACAGAAAGCGCTTCTGAAAACCCTAGAGGTCTGGTCCCGAGCGTGGCGCAAATGGGAGGACGTCAACGAACACTTGCTGAGCAGAGGAGTCCTAAGGGGGACCTGCAGCCCCGTTACCTGCAGAAACAGCTGCAAGCGGCCCCCCAGCGTCCTCACTTCCCGCCGCAGCTCAGCTGGCAGGGCCTCCCGGCCAGCCTCTGGGAGGACGCCGCTCAGCCAGGGTCCCGTCAGCACCGCGACCTGCTCGAACGCGCTTGTCACCTGGACTGCAAGCGACTGGTTTGCTCGGTCAGCGAACACTTGGAAAGAAGAAAAGTGATGAGCAGAAATGACCTCCCAGTAAAAGAGCTCACAGACGCTCGCCACGCAACCACGAGCATCAGACGACGCACGGCAGAGGTGACCACTCCGCTGAGGACGTGCAGGATGCGGCAGTCCCAGCGGGCAGGTCAGCGCAGACACTTACGGTTACACTGACTGTCCTCGTCCTGCTCTTCGTGGGCTCTGGACATGGCCAGTACCCCATCGTGGATTCTGAGGAAATTACTCATCAGGCTGTCTGCCACGGTGCCTTCTTCATCATCACTCTGTCCGAGAAGCTCTAATGACGAGCCGATCAACTCTTTGCAAATGCCAGGAAGGAAGGGTTCTGCTGAATCCGGGTAAACGGGGCTGGATTTCCCCACTAAGCCTGTGTGGACAGAAAATAGCCACCATAAGGCTTGTTTCCAGGGACAACGCTTGCAAACAAACACATCAGTACAATACTGGGCACACATGCCAAGCAGGCTGCTTCCATTTCAAGACATCCTCCTTTCTCTACAGCAAGGGGAAGACAGCCCCACAGAGGACTCAACCAGCTTCTCAACAGCATCCATCCATCCACAGCCCAGCAGCTGCAGAAGCAGATAACAGGGAAAACACAAATCCCATGTAACCACTGACTTCATCTCCTTCTTAATTTACTTACTGGCAACACCTAAGGAAGTGCGAATTGGTGAAAACAATGGTAGTTGCATAAAGCAAAATAATACAAACACAATAAACGTTAAGGAATGAAGCACATGCTGGAAAAGCAGGCAGTAGCAGAGGAAAGAACGGGAGGAAGGTCCCGGCAGCTCTCCGTGTAGCACCTGCTCCAGGTGTCCACAACCAGAAGAGGAGGAAGCCAAGCGACTATCCGGTCAGTCACATCTTAGGGAGACAGACTTCCCAACAACTTTCTAAGCACCGTCCAAGCCAGAAGCAGAAAGTGTGAAAGCGCTCATCGGCACCTCTGGAAGTAACTGCACCCAGAATGCTAGCCCGAGTAGGGCTCTCATTGAACATGCACGGGTAGTCTTCCGGTCCAGTCCACAGGCGACTAGAAACAGCGAACTACAAAGGAAAGTAAAACGCAAGCACGGGGCAGGGACTGCTGAGTGCAGAGCCAAAACAAGAGCTTGATTTGGGAGGAGAAAACAGAAACGCTGCCACATCTAAAGCTCTGTCACTGCTGGGTGACGACAGTGACCTCCCACCACCTGCTTCATGAGACGCCTGTCTGAATGCATCAAGTTCAGCTGCAGCCTGTCACAAAGATCTGTGCTAGTTTCAGAACACAGCCCCTCAGGTGAGACGTTCAGCCACGTGCTGACTCTCTACAGTCGGGAGGTGCCGCCCCGACTGACCCCGGGCAGGCCTGGTCCTGCTCCCACCACGCGACCACCCAGGTGGTTCACACTAAAGGCACAGGTGGGCTTCCATCTCCCTCTCGGAAAACTGCAAACAGGCAAAGACCTCTTAATGCTGACTTCCCCTTATATCTTCATGTTTTTAAAGGGCACTTAAAAATGACCCTTGAGTGCCTGAAACTAACACCACATTGTAAATCAACTATTCTTCAATTTAAAAAAAAAGAGACCCTAGAAGAGATAGGTTTAGTTATCTGGAAAAGGTACGTTTATAAAACATCTTACTCTAAAGTAGTACTGAATGAATAAGTTGCTACCACAGATACACAGGCTTTTATTTTGCTGGTAAACAAAATGTCTATGGCATATTTTGCTTTGACTTACATTAAACAAGCAGTAGGATAATTATCATCTTCCTAAAAGATAAGTTTATGATTAAAAAAGAAACTCTAATGTCTTTAAAGTCAAGATGAAATATAATTTCTTTCATGGCTACTCAAATCCCAGTGATATCATTATAGACTATTATGTTATGTATTAATTTTTAATCTCAGTTTACTAAGGTACAGGTAACACTCTGTAAAGTGTTCGCATCTTGAGTGTACAGCTTTTTTACGCACATGTACACCATGTAACTTCCAGCGAGGGGGACACACCCCAGCCCATCGCCCCTGACAGGCTCCCTTGTGACCCGCTCCTCTATCTGCTGTCACTGCGGCTCAGTTTTCCCTATTCCTGAACTTTCCGTAAATAGACTCATATGGAATGCACTCTTTATTATATAGTTTCTTATACTTCACGTGGAGCTTCCCTTGTGGCTCAGCTGGTAAAGAATCGGCCTGCAATGCAGGAGACCCTGGTTTGATTCCTGGGTTGGGAAGATCCCCTGGAGAAGGGAATGGCTCCCGCTCCAATATTCTGGCCTGGAGAATTCCATGGACTGTATAGTCCATGGGGTTGCAAAGAGTCAGACATGACTGAGCAACCTTTACTTTCACACTTCACACATTGCTTTTGGGATTCACCCAGGTAGTGGTATGAATCAGTGGTTCTTTTCTGTCACTATGTAGTAGTTTGTTGTTACCAAGTAATAACTTTAATTATTACAGGTACTTACACACAAAGTGTATCCCCCCTCTTCTTATGAAAACTAATATTATAGTCAATATTAGCATAAAATAATTATTCAGTGGAACAAGTCCTATAACTTTTTCTTTTAAACCATTAAAACTGGAAGTAATTTTGTGACAGATGACATGTGTGTTACACGAAATCCAGAAGGACATGGGGGTGCGTTCTGCCGAGGACGCCCCCTCCCTGTCCTGCATCACCCCACGCGCCCCAGACAAGCAGCACTTTCAGGCCGAGGGCAGCTCTCCTGGAGACTTGTTCACGAGCAAGCACGTTCCCCTCCTCACACAAGTGACATCCTGTAACACACCATCTTCCACACTTGGCCTCTTTCCACTGGGAAGGAAACAGTATCCTCGTACATTTATGAATACACACACGTCTTCCCCATCTGAACCAGTCACCCGATTAACACTTGGAAAACACTCTGAGCACAGAGCTTCAGAAGCAGGAGGGCCTCTGGCCCACCCTCCCATTTACAGACGAGATGGAAGCTCCCAGGAGATGAGAGGATTTGCACAAGGACCAGAAACAAGATGGTGGCAGAGACAAGACTTGGTGGCTGCTCTCAGGAAACAACAGAATCCAACGGGAAAAGGACCTGCGGAGCGTGAAGAATGCAGGTCCTGGCCCGTGTGGGCCTCGATGTCATGCAGACAGCCAGAAACCCTCCTGTTGTTCATCAGGCTCCTGCTCCTGAAACAACAGACCCCAGCAGGTTAGCAGTTATATTAATACGTCACATGCAATAACGCTAGAATGCTTGCTGTTAAATACCCTAAAGAAAACGGACATCCATGAGTGTGCTTCCCACGGAGACGTTTTCATCAAGAGCTAAGTGAATTTGCCCACTGATTAAGAATTTCACTGTCTCTAGATAGGATTCTAACCCTCCAGTTCACTGAGCAGAATCAATATGTACAGAATGCAGGTGACCCTTGGACGACACAGGGGTCACACACCCTGGGCACAGCCAAAAGCCCGCGTGTACTTTACGGTCAGCCCCGGTGTGTGAGGTTCTGCCACATCCGTGGGCCCAACCAACCCCAGGCCTGTTGGAAACCCGTGTTGTTCAAGGTCAACCGTCCCATTAGTCATAGGCTCTGGATACTGTGGTTAAAGCACTTCAGTGAGCTTCTGGGCTCAGTGAGCTAAAGGTCCACAGGAAGAGAGAGAAATTAGGAGTAACTACACTCAATTGCCGCGCTGTGAAAGTACTGGGGTTAGGGGGTGCCCTGCAGAGACTCTGGGGAAGGACGTGGCCCCAGAGTCCGGAGGCCCCCCACCCCAGGGCAGGGGTCAGCCGCACGGGGAGGCAGGAGGGTTGTACAGGGAGAGGGAGGCTTGGCCCAGATGGATTCTGAGCTGCAGCTGAAGGTGATGAAATTAAAAAGACTGTAACCCGAGAGACACTGTTCTCTGCGACAGAGAGGCTGTAACCCAGTCACGGTCGCGGGCTCGGGAGTCGCACAGACCTGGGCTTGAGCACCAGCCCTTCTCTTAGCAGCTGTAGGCCTTTGGACAAGGTTCTCATCTCTTTAAATTCTCAGGGACTTCATCCGTGAACTGGGGGTGAGAAGGGCCTTTGCTGCTCAGCAGACATTCAACACGCTCCGCTGGTGACCATGATTCTGGTGGATGAACCGCTGTGACCTCCACATCCTGAAAACCCCCAATCTCCGCAAAGCTTTAGACCGCAGGAGACCCACATCCGGGAACCTGCCTCACTGCATCCACACCAGCCCCACCGCAGGGCACCCTGCTCCCCCGCCTGTCCCCTGGACCTGCCCACATCCCCGCACCCAGGCCCCGGGCCCGGCCTCCAGGATGCACGTGAAGCCTGCCCTTCCTCGGGGCTCAGGCCGGGCCCTCATCACCGGCCCTGACCTGCTCTCCTTCCACCGGTCCTGGAGGGCAGGGAGCGCCGGCCCTTTCTCTGGCATCCCCAGACACGGCAGCCGGCAGGCCTGGTTCCAGACCACACTGGGGGCCGGGCCTGGGACGAAGGCCTCTCCAGGGCACATTGGCCTCTCTGTAGCCCAAGGGTCGTGATAACAAGGGCAACCGTGCCTCTCCTCTGCCTCAGTTAATAAGCGGCACTTGTCACACACGGACGTCCTCAGTACCCACAACTGAGTGCCGAGATGCTCGTACTGACCTGACTGCATCTCACACTCTGCAAATTACGATAAAATATCAGAATATGCCAGGCTTCTGAGAAAGGGTTATTTAAAGTAATAAACACTGCTCGTTTTTATATGCAATTGGATTTATGGTAGTCTAAGTTGCTCTTAAAGCTTATATGGTAAAATACTGAGGACTTTTCCTTCATATACTAACTGAATATAAGCAATTTAATGCCCTAACGGCTGTAATCTGATCACTGACATACATGCTTCCCGCCACAGATACCTGCCGTGACAGCAGACAGTTCTTATAGACAGGAAGTGACACGTCTACACCCAGAATAAGAGAGCCAGAAGCACCAGCACCCTCACCTCCTTCTGGAAAAGGAAGAAACAGGAACATCGGTGATGTCGGGTTCCCACTCATCTTCAGCGTCACAAAAGACATCTTCACCCTGGTTACTCCCATGGCTCTAAGGAAATAAATACCGAGTTTCCAGTAACAAAGGGGGAAAAGATTTAACTACTTTGCTGTATTTATCAAAGTAAAAATGCACAGAAGTGGATGCTGTTTCAGTAAGATCTGCAAATTAATAGGTTCAAATGAGCCAAATTAAAAATGCCTGCACAACAAAATGAAACCCTGGAGATGTCGACATAGCCAGGGGGGAAACGAATATGATAAATATAAAATAAAGGTTATTTTTTTAAACAAAAGTTTATTATCAAAATATGTTAAGAAAGCTTACGGATGTTAGCTCACTACTCACACTTCACTTGACAAAAACTTCAAAGGACGTGAACACACACTTTACCAATAAGCAAACAAATCCTCAGTCACTACTTATATGAAAATGTAAGTTAAACCAGGGACACTGGTAAATGGCAATATTCCTGGCAGGCAAATTGTCAGTGAGAAAAATAGAATAAAAAGTTTATTCTATTTATACAGTATTTATAAAGTTTACTTATACAGTGTCAGAAAATGAAAGACAAGGAAATAAGACCTTAGAAACTAACGTGCGGAGCTGTGACCTCTCAAGCAGCAAACCGCCGAACCCCCGAGAGCACAGCAGCGGCCTGGGGACACCGCGCACGCAGGCCGCCAGCACCTCGGAGGACCGAGCCCGCTGCAGCGCTCTGGGTCCCTCACACCCTGCCCCCTCCACTCACGTGCAAGACTTAAAGAACACGCTATTATAACCGAGGAGATTTAGTACTAAACTTCTCCATACAGTGGTGAAAGTGAGAGTGTTAGTCACTAAGTCATGTCTGACTCTTTTTGAGACCCCGTGGACTGTAGCCCACCAGGCTCCTCTGTCCATGCGATTTTTCAGGCAAGAATACTGGAGAGGGTTGCCGTTTCCTTCTCCAGGGGATCTTCCCAACCTGGGGTCAAATCCAGGTCTCCTGCATTGCAGGCAAATTCTTTACCATCTTAGCCACCAGGGAAGCACTCCTTACACAGCTATAACTATATTAAAACCCAAAAAAATCCCTTCTACAGGCAAAAGTAAATATACACAATTGTTAGTACTGGTTGGTTTGGCTAATGGGAACAGCCTTTTATTAATATCTGTCAAATTTTCCTTAGTGAGAACATGTCACTTCTGCATTTTTCATTTCAAAAGTTTATAGAGATTTTTATGATACTGCAAACCTCATAAAGTTCCTTCATTGCTGCAAGCTTAGACTCAAACTTTTCCAGACTCCAGACGGTTGAGACCCTGAGCTGCAGGTTACGGACCCGAATCCAAGTGTCAGAACTGCTTCCTTTATCTGATACCATATATCTGAAAGAGAAACCAAAGAAAAAATGCTTTGTCTAAAATACACGTAAGAAATACACGTAACCGAGAGATTCTGGAAACAACAGCTCCCAGAAAACAGTCCACTGATTAAGTCTCTCCAGAGTTAAGTATTTCTGTTATGGTTATAGTCAGGTCTAGGATATACTACATACTAAAATAACTTTTTACATAATAACTTTTTAAATTAAAAATTCAATACTGCACATTTCTTTTAAAACGTGGAATACTAATTAATTCTCAACTCAAAAGAAAATTAGTAAATTCATAAACCAGCTAAAATTTCTCTGTTTATAAAATATTTTCAAAAGCCTTATTCACTCCAGAGTGACCTCTGAAAGGGGAGTCTGGAAGTGCCCCTGGGGATTGACACCTGCTCGCTCCCAGACGGGCATGTAGGGTACTAAAGAAACTCAACACAAACAAAAAATCATATAAACGGCAACTAGTTTTAAACAAAGAATTAGTTTACTAATAAGATAACTACTCACCTGCCAAAAACATAATTCTTGTTTAACCTGCTGCTGATGGCGTTGGCTTCCTGAATCATGACGGACAGCTTCATGGAGCTCCAGCTGGGCTGCGCTGGCAGAAGGCAACAGAGAAGGCTGAGGACCTGGGTGTGAGCACGGACCCCCGGGCACACCTCCTGAAAAAGGCAGCTTCACACCAATGGTTCTAACTGTGTATCACAGAGGTAAGGGTCGTAACACAGGGACTTTCTACAACCCTCATGGCGAAATGAAATATTCTTCACCCAAAATGAGGTCTTTCACCTAAGGAGGCAGGGAAGAAAAGTAAAGTTCACAGAGACAGGAAATGCCAAAAATGCTGCTTTTCCTCCTAATATTTTTAAAGTTCTTCTCTTTTTCCTAATTTCTTTTTTTCCTAATGTCTAAGTTAAAGAATTAGATAAACTATGCATGCATGCATGCTAAGTCACTTCAGTCATGTCTGACTCTGTGCGACCCTATCGACAGCAGGCTCCCCTGTCCACAGGATTCTCCAGGCAAGAATACTGGAGTGGGTTGCCATTCCCTTCTCCAAGATAAAGTATACTACAGCCTTAACTTACATAGAACCACAATCCTTTATATTTTGCCTGAAATTTTAAAGTATATAGATAGATAAATATAGACAGAGATAAAAATACATCAGGAAACAAAAACAATTTTAGTCCAAAATTCCATGTTCCTAATTCAGATTTAAGATTTTATTATAGACACTTTCTATGTTGTTCAGTCAAACTTATAACCAATATTCCATTAAAAGCATTTTTTGAAAGAATAAAATTCATTATTCAAGTGAATTATTCAAATTCAACTAAAAAAAAATCAACTATTCATAAGGCACTATTTTAGGACCCAAGAGCAACAAAAAGATGAATTAAGAAAATGTTCTTATCTCCTGCAAGAGACAGAAGGAGTACTACTGCAAAGTCATCTGAAACAAAAGCTATGGAGAGTATCTGGCACAACGACCAGGTGTCCTTGCTGAAGCACAGAGCCTGGATGATGCCCTGTGGGAACCAGCTGCGTGACAGCCTGAGGCCCGTCAGCAAGCCCAGAATCGGAGACCCGCCAGGAAAACCACCTGGCTGCTCCGTCCACAAGTCACAAGGGGACAGAGCGAGAAGGGAAGAGCCTGCCAACAGACTAAAACAGACATAAAGGCACATCTACCACTCGCAAGGTGTGGACCACGTCTGTACGCTGATCCAAACCAACCAAACAAATGTATCTTAAAAATTATCAAATAATCCAGGAAATCTGAATATGGACTAGATATCTGATGAGTATAAGAAACTATTACTAATATTTTAATTGTGATAACAATATCAGAGTTAAGCTTCAAAGAGTGACAGAAAAGACGCCTTATCTCGATTGGAGACACATAGGGACGTATTTGCAGGTTAAGCAATAGGTTGCTTGGGTTTTGTTTCAGAACACTCCAGGAGGCAGGGGACTGAGCAGGGGCTGGAACAAGACTGAGCTTGGTGGGGAGCTGTTGGAGATGGCGAGAAGCATGTAAGGGTTTACTGAACCAACCTCTGGGCTTTCACAGTTTATTTGACCTTTTCTATAATTAAAAATAAAAGTTTACACTGAAAACATGCTGTGTTCTACACAGGAATGCAGAAATGTACAAAAAAATAACTTTCAAGTAAGACAGAAAGTGATGTGTGCAATGATTACACACAACTTAGATAATTCTTGTAAAATAAGAATTCAGAATTACATTACGACATTTTAAAATACATGATACATATGAAAATAATACTTGGAATTCCATTTACTATTTGCTTATGTAACTAAATATTCTAAAAATAATAGCTCATACAAATTTATCTACATCCAGAGAAGTCACTTAACACATAGAATAAAACATTCTGAATATGTAAGGATAACTGACATCTTAGTAATTTTATGAAATAATGCACAGTTTAGAATGCCTGCTGAGGCCATCCTGCACTCACCTGTGAAGGCTTTATCCCTGTGGCTCTGATTCTGCTGTAGAATCTGCACTTCCTTAGCAATCCTCTGCTTCTCTGTTTCTAGAGCTTCCAGAATTTTTGCGTGGCGAATCCTGTGGTCTTCTAAAGCCTGGTGAGATCCATTCATGTGGAGCCGCACACGAGAGCATGCAAAGAAAGGAATTATGAACCAGACATAACAGCAGTCTGGATGGAATAATCCTCATTCCACAGGACGCGTTTTATTAAGCATGAAAGCCTTTTAAAAAATGACTTATACAGTATCTTTAGAGAACGATTTTTTTCCTCCACAAAATCAGGAGGAATTTCTGATGACATAATCTTTTCCTTACCATTGATAGGAATATAAAAATCTTCAGGGAAAAAACTACTCAAAAAAGCCCACACTCAAGAACGTCTGTTGACTAAATCAAACAGTTAAATGAAAACAACACCTATAAACCTCATTTGACACTAATAAGCTATCTAATAGCCCCCTAGTAATTGTTTTCAAGATGTAAACTGCTCTTAAAACTCTCTGAGATGGTTCCCTGGCCGCTCCAGTTCTGGAACTGCTAATACACGTGTTCTCCCCAAACTCTAGTAGGGGCATTTTTAGGTTACTGACGGCATCTTCTCTACCCCCACCTCCACTATTAACTCAGAAAGAAAAGAAAAAAAAACTGCCACTTGAGACTCAAAGTTTAAGNTTCTCCCCAAACTCTAGTAGGGGCATTTTTAGGTTACTGACGGCATCTTCTCTACCCCCACCTCCACTATTAACTCAGAAAGAAAAGAAAAAAAAACTGCCACTTGAGACTCAAAGTTTAAGGCACAAGAAGGCAAAGCGGAGATGACAGCAGCGGCTCTACCTCCAAGATCAGCGGTGCCCGCTCCAGGGCCGCTCATGAGGGGTTCGGGGCCCCCCTCAGAGCTCTGACCCAGCAGTGCTGGAGGCACCAGGATCTCGCGTCCCCCAGGTGACGCTGGGCCTCTGGCCCAGCACCTGGAGAGCACCGCCCAGAAGGTGCCTCTGCCCTCAGAGAGACGACGGACACTGGTGCCCCAGCTCCCACAGTGCCCCGGGGCCTGCCCACTGCTCCTCCCACCCTGGCACGGGGACGCAACCGGTACAGGAGTGAGCCACCCCCTCTGCCCTGTGCCGCAGCGTCCCTCGGCATCTGTGTGATGGCGTGACGATGGGGGAGGGAGGACACTTCAGGCAGGGAGATGCCCCCCACCCTCAGACCCGTCACTCCTGTGTCACCCTCACACCCATCACTCCTCTGTCGCCCTCACACCCGTCACTCCTCTGTCGCCCTCACACCCGTCACTCCTCTGTCGCCCTCACACCCGTCACTCCTGTCGCCCTCACACCTGTCACTCCTGTGTCACAGACCTGTCACTCGTGTGTCACCCTCACACCCGTCACTCCTCTGTCACAGACCTGTCACTCGTGTGTCACCCTCACACCCGTCACTCCTGTCACAGACCTGTCACTCGTGTGTCACCCACACCCGTCACTCCCCTGTCGCCCTCACACCCGTCACTCCTGTCGCCCTCACACCTGTCACTCCTCTGTCACAGACCTGTCACTCGTGTGTCACCCTCACACCCGTCACTCCTCTGTCGCCCTCACACCCGTCACTCCTCTGTCACCCTCACACCCATCACTCCTGTCACCCTCACACCCGTCACTCCTGTGTCGCCCTCACACCCGTCACTCCTGTGTCGCCCTCACACCCGTCACTCTGCTCTCACCCTCACACCCGTCACTCCTCTGTCACCCTCACACCTGTCACTCCTGTGTCCCTTAGCATCCATGTGACAATGGGGTAGGACAGACACTTCGGCTGGGAAATCCCTCTCACCCTCAGACCTGGAGCTGACCATCACCCTCCACAGAGCCTAAGTTCTTTAAAACAAAACCCAGGGACTTCCCTGGCAGTCCAGTTGTTAGCAATCCGCCAGCCAGTGCAGGGGATGCGGGTTCCATCTCTGGTCCAGAAAGACCCTATAAGCTGCAGGGCGGCTGGACCCGACGCCACAACTACTGAGCCCCCGCTCCTAGAGCCCGTCGTCTGCAACAACAGAAGGCCCTGCAACGTGGAGCCCACATTCCGCAACCAGAGAGTAGCCCCTCTCGCTGCAGTGGACATGCAGCACAGCCAAAAATAAGCAAATGGATAAGTAAATATTTTTTAAGTCCAGCTTTTCCTCCAGACTACACTACTACATGATGAAGTCACCTGCTTTGTCGCCAGAGCCTCCATTTCCAGCCGCTTTCTGTTGACATGAATTTCCTGCTCAAAACGCTGCTTCACCTTTTCCAGTTCCTCAATTTTGTGATTCGCCTTTTGGTTATTTATTTCCTGAATCTTCTTCCTTTGAGATTCTTCTTTCTTTAAGCAACAAAAAGTAAATAAGGCAAAAGTACAGAGCAATTCTTCAAAAACAAGATCAGTTGGTAGAGTCTGCCTGCAGTGCAGGAGACCAGAGTTCAATCCCTGGGTCAGAAGAGCCCCTGAAGAAGGAAATGGAAACCCATTCCAGTATTCTTGCCTGGAGAATTCCACAGACAGAGGAGCCTGGTGGACTAAAGTCCACGGGGGTCACAAAGAGTTGGACACGACTGAGTGACTAACACACAAACAGGGCAAAAATACAGAGCAATTCTTGAAAAACAACATCAAAAAATACAAGTCCCATTTTTAAAATCAGTGCCCAAGAAATTGACTCACAATAGAAAAGGGGCCCTGGAGCGTCTCCACCTTGTCGAGGTTGACTAACCGACTGCAAAGAACCACCCTCCCAAGCACTGGCCCCTGGACGGTGCAGGGAAGCTGAATGTCCAGCAGACAAGAGAGCTGAGGCCCGAGGAGGGGCCAGAGCCCCTCAGTATCTCCTCTTCCCCGACAGCCGCGTCTCCCCGGGACGCCCCAGGCCCATCTAGAAACCTAAGGTTACTCAGGACGCCGACGGGCCTCTTACCAGCTCCGCCTCCAGCACTCGGATCTTGCCCTCGTACGCAGCTTTCTGAGAGGAGAGCTCTTGCTGGGCCATTTCTCTCACGATCTGGATGCCTTGCATCATTTCCTCCTTGGCTCTCACCTGCGCCTCCTGGATTTCCGCCTCAAGCCTGCAAGGCAGCGAACAGCCACAGGGGGCGCCATCAACCTTCACACACCAGAACTCTCAACTGTACTAAGACGTTTTCAGTTAAACCAAAGCTCAAACCTCAAAACTTAAATTTCTGACTTTCTGTCAAAAGCGTTCTTAAATCTTTATTATCTCGAGAACTGTTTACACAAAATATAGAAGAGAAAATATAAAAGGATGAAAATTCGCCTATTTCTCAGCCACTCTGCTCTACACACACGAGTACTCACTGTAACCTCTGGGCCATCAGCAAGTCGTTTTTGGCTGACTCAAAGTCTTCTGGGCCCTTGCTCACAGGACTCTCTCTGCTGGGTGGCCGCTCGCCTTTCTGGACTTCCATTGGATGATTAAATCTAAAATAATGATCGCCACCAAGAATCACCCGATCTCCCTAAAGCACACAAAAAATGGACCATTGGAGGTGAGTCCGAACCAAAAATCCCCATGGGACAAACCGTCATGCTCAACAATTCAATACAGTCCAGTGTCACTAATGATGAACAGAAGAATCACGGCAGCTAACATTTATGAAACACCTGAGAGGGTCAGTTCCTAGGCAGACTGATAAGTCCAGGGTCCCCGAGGAGGAGAAAGGGGTCTGGGGCTCTTGAAGAGGAGATAGGGGTCTGGAATTCTCAAGGAGGAGGAAAGGACAAACATCTTTTTTTTCTTTACATTCCTTACTCTTGAGTCACATAAAACGTTTTTTTCTTTAAGCCCAGAACTAGGCTTGCCAGGTGGCACCACTGGTAAAGAACCCATCTGCCAATGCAGGAGACACCAGGGACATGGGTTCAGTCCCTGGGTTGGGAAGATCCCCTGGAGGAGGAAACAGAAACCCACTCCAGTGTTCTTGCCTGGAAAATCCTATGGACAGAGGCTACAGTCCAGGAGGCTACAGAGTCGGATGTGACTGAAAACACACATGATGATACAGAACTGATGATTACACAACAAACTCAGTTTAAACTCTATACTAAGGATTATACAATGTATCCTGCTTGAAGACAGTTTCTCCTTCCTGAAAACCTTCTGGCTAACCCTGTTACCTTAAAATGTAAACTATGGGACTGGGTCTAGTAAGATCTTTACAACCTTGAGAACTTCTATCTGTAGACTTACTGTAATAACTGATTAGAAAAGCATGTGACTCCCTTGCTAACACGAGCAGGGGGCACTCTCCACCCCTTCTGAGTCTGTGTCAGAAGCCTCCTCTGTTCCTTTTTCACTTTAATAAAACTCTGCTACACAAAAGCTCTTAAGCGATCAAGCCTGGTCCCTGCTCCTGAAGCTAAATCTTCGGAGATCACGAACTCGACATCATTCACCATAAGCTACCGCACTGTCCATATGCCAAGAACTGGGGCAGACACGCTGCCTACATGCCTATTATTAACCCAGTTCTAGGGATGAGGACAATAACACAGCACAGATGTTAACAGCCACGGCGCTAAGCACTGGTTGAGCTCACTGCCTGCAGACATGGCATGAAGAACCAGGCACGAATTAATTCTTCCAGCAGCCTCTCTCGACCCTCCCTGAGAGAGAGCTACATACACCAGGTGACAACAGGCCTTGCTTTGCCTGCAACAGAACACTTATGCCTGTTCCCCTAACGTCATCATTAAAGTGCCTGGGGAGGGTGACACACGGTCACCCGAGCCTCGTAACTTCTCAAAGGTCAAACAGCAGCTGGCAGGGCCGGGGCTCTGACCGAAGCCCAGCTCTGCCCGGGACATGGAACGGTGCTGCCGCTGGGCAGCTCCCAGGCACAGGTCTCTGCACAAGGCCAGGCGATCTGTGAAACGCCAGGAGAGAGAACACGAGAGCCCAAGAATCCTTCCCCTCGCTCTGACCTCAGAGGAGAGGACGAGGCTCAGCAAACTGAATCCCATGCCCAAAGGGGAACAGTTACCCGCATCTCAGCAGCAGCCAACTTACATGGTGTAACACCGTGGGCTCCGAAATCAGTTTTCCGTTTACGTATGACTTCGCTTCCCCAGCTGGGACGATACTCACTGTCCCAGCAGAATTGGTGATGGTGCTGTGAAGACAGGGTGCCCATGGTTACCGTGATGGACGGACTGACAAGGAAGAAAAGGCAGTACAAATAATGCTCCTTGGGGTGTTCCTTCAGTGCTAAGACTTCTATCAATTTATGACAATAGTAACGTAGAAGAATCCTCTTATTTTCCTTCAATTAGATTTTGAAGCTTTGCTGAAAAAAGCCTGGCTTCTCTAACAATTCTATCCAGCAGTGGTGGGAAAATTTTTCATTGTATGTATTACGATTAAAACTACTTAAAAAAATACTAACCCCTCTCCCCCAAAAAATGAAAAATGAATACACAAACATTAAAGGAAAATACATTAAAATACTTATAAGCACTGACCCGTGTACTAAAACCAAGGGCCAGGCAAATGGGGGACTTCCTAGCCCCCTACTAGACTCTTCACTCTTTGGGGGCATGTTCTGTATCTTTGCCACAAGAGTAAATAATACTGGACTTATTTGTTACAGAAAACAGTAGAAGACCAAGAGGAACGGAAGATCAAGGAGCCAAACCACGCCAGGTACAAAGACACCATGGAGCTCAGATAACTAAGACCATGCGATATCAGTGAGAAAACTCACTCTGTATCTTTAGAAATATTTTGCATAACACCACATATCAAAAAAAAAAAAAGCCACATGTTATTTAATATATGGGACTGGAAGAATTGGTTATTCACAGGGAAAATAAATGAATTTAGATCTCTACTTCACACCAAACAAAAAATTCCAGACTACTTAAGGACTTAAATGTGAAAGAAAATTTCAAAACATCTAAAAGATAATTTAGGAGACTATCTCTATAACCTCAGTACCAAAAGGATTTTTTTAAACGAGACACAGAAACTGACAACCATAAAGGAAAAGATTCACTTGTGTGATACACTAGGAACTTTGATCCATCGAAAGGCACCCTGAGAGAGAGAAAAGACGAGCCACGCACTAGAAACGAGCTATTCACAACACATGAAACTTGCAAAAGCTTGCCAGCCAGAACACAGAAAGATCTGCTACAAATTATGAAGGAAAAAACAAACAATACAATTGAAAAATGGACAAAAGACATCAACAAGTTACAAAAGAGCAACCAAAAGTGGCCAAAATATGTGAAAATTACTAGTCAAGGAAATGCAAACGAATGCCCAACGAGACGCCAGTTGGTGTCCACTCTACTGCGCTAAGTGTTGGCAAGGATCTGAGGGCAACAGGAACTCTCAGTGCCAACTGCGGCAGAACTGACGATCATTCTGGAAAGCAATCTGAAATCACCTCGTGAAGGTGAATTTGCACACATCCTGCAGGCTGCTCTCTCCCCTCCTAGACACACACTTAGGGCTGCTTCCCAAACTGGGGAATTACCATGACATGCTAAGTGCAAAGTCGCCACGCTCATACAGCACGCGGGGCAGAAAGACGGGCCAGGCTGCCCCGAGGGCCCTGTCTCACCTGTTGACACTTACTCCAGGGACGCGCTACCCGTTTGTACCAGGAGACGTGTCACAAGCACTCACAGCAGTGCTGTGGGAGTGAGAAACCACAAATGTCTACCGACAAAACAGACAGGTAAGTCCATGCCACACGACACTTTGCAGCTGGGAAAAAACAAGCACATCAACAAGGATGAATCATGGAAACACAGCATGGAGCTAAAACAGCTCACATAAACCATCACCCCAACAACACAGGGAACACCGCTCCACTCACAGGAACAGAAGTTTAAACTCATCATCCAACCAAAAAGCCTGCCATAAATGATGGATGGAAGTTTCATGCCTAAGATTGTAACTCCCGAGAAATAACCCCTTGGCCACATCGCATGCATAAACCAGAAACACAGCCACACTACTCATTCATCACTTCCCACAGGAGAGCACTGCCCTGCCGTCCTCACAAAAGGCTGCCTGCTTTCCTGGCTAACAGATGCCCTCTGAGTGACACCAGGCCTCAGCGTGAACGCAGATGCGTGGGGAGGGAGCTGCAGGTGGGAGGGAGCTGGAGGGACGCACCAGTGGTCATCGGCGATCAGCACCCCCGACAGCTGGATGTCGTGGCTGGAGCTCGGTCTGTTCTTTCCGACAGTGGTCGTCCCCTCTTTTATCATGTATAACAGGATCTCCGACAGCTGAGGGTCTTCATTGAGATTGACCAGGTTTGGCAGATGGTTGTCCATTTGAAAGGTAATTCCTGCTTTCTAGTGGAAGTCAAAAAAAAGTTAACCTTGATCAGGAGCATGAAATTGTTAAATCCACCTAAAATGAAAGGTCTGCGTTAAACGTGAAAGTCACAGGATGTGTGACTCGGTAATTAATGGTCTCTTAGACCATCTCCGCTCGTATGTGTATGTGTGACCGTATGCCATAAGTGTGACCAGCATACTTCTCAGAAGCCTCCCAGGGTGACGCTGACCCTGTGTCCCTCACCACCTTCAGCCCACTCAGGGCTCAACCTGGCGTCTCCACGCACCTGTCCTCACCCGCAGCCATCCACAGCAGGTCCCCTCACTGTGACAATAACCTCCTGATCCCACGATGCAGGGCGCACCTTTCAGGCACCATTCCCCAGTTCCCTGTCTACACACATCTCAGGAAAACCCTCTTGAGTCTGTCAGCTCTCCTCCTTCCAGGCCCTTGCGCGCAGCCCCCCACCGCCTGCCCCGAGCTCTCGTCACCTCCTCCCGTAACCCCAGCCACAGCTCCGAGACGGGTCCCTTTTCCGCATTCGTCTTCCCTCCCTTGAGCCCTCTCTCACAGCCTCACCAGGAGAACCTGTCCAGACACAGGCTGCTCGGCCCTCCGTCCACCTAAAACCCGCCGCGGCCGCGCCCACCGGTCCTCACTGCATCGGGGCCCGACTGTGCCTCTCTCCAGTCTGACCCGCCCCTGCAGCCACGCATCTGTCCCTAACTCTCTGGGCGTCAGGCCGCATCACGCCTGTGTGCTTCTAAACATGTGTTTCTCTGCTGAGACGTTTGACTCTGGTAGCCAACAAGCTCCTGCTCACTGTACAAGATTTCGCTTAGTTGCCCCTCTCCGTCCCCGTCCTCCCAGTGGCCGCCCTCATCAGAGAACTACTCCCTCCCGTGTCCAGCTCCTCCGCCCACTGCACTCGAGCGGCTCACACGACACAGCCAGCGTCCACCGTCGTGCACCTACCAGGCGGTTTAACGCCTCCCACCACACGACACTTCCGTAAACCTCCCTCTGCGTCACGCGTGCTCTGGATTCACCTCGGCCTCCCCAGGCCTGGCTCAGCACAAACATTCCATATTTGTTGAACCAACATGAAGCCAACTAGAGAGTGTGTTTATATTTTAACTTTCCAACCAGCTCAAAGGCTCTAAGCCATCACAATCCCGCTCTTAGAGCTCCTCACAAGGATTCCCTCTAACATTTTGCCCTGTACAGTACACAATGAACATTTGAGAGATTACATCTGCATATTTACTGGCATATTTCTTTGCAAATTTTCAAATCAGTTTAGAGAGCTGAAATGATACCTGTAACTCCTTTGTTACTTGAAGTTTTCTTTTTTCAGCTTGCTCAAGTTTTTCTTTCCACATTCTTTTCAAAGAAAAACAAAAGAGCTTAAAAGAGTTAAAAAAATATCTATATATATAAATGATTAAGATTCAAGAGATAGTCAACAAAACTTAGAAAACCACTTGGGAACATTTCAAACGTCATGGTCTGGGGATGAGCTGCTGCACTCACATGGAAGAGAGGGTGAACTCAGACTCAGGTGCCTCCTCAGCCTTCCCGCCAGCCCCCGCCACCACCCCCTCCAGCACCCGGCGCCCCGCGCACCTCTGCATGTCCGCCATCTCTCTCTCCTGCTGATGCAGCTTCATTCTCAAGGACACGATTTCTTGGCGGCAGAGCCTGTATCGTTCAGGGTCAATGTTCTGACTGCTTCTTTGGGCAGCTTTTAACTTTTCAATTTCTGCTTTCAATTCTAAACATTTGTAAAAAGAGACCTGATTAATAACATTTGATATACAGTCCGCTAGACATGAATGGCTGATCTTCTATTTGAAGTCTTAAGAACCACTAAGTGAAATTTTACTTTAATTACTTACAAACCCCTCCCTAGCCTTAACCTGAAAAACTGCTCCCCTGTTAATGAATCCCTCCCTCTTAGCAGGATGGCCATGAAATGTCCAACGCAGGGCCCCTCTGAGAGGGCCCGGGCACTCGTCTGGGACGACACAAACAGTCCTGCCCTGGCACACCGTACCCATAAAGACTCGAGACAGAGATCAAAGGTTTTCAATTTGAGACGAAACTCTCGCCCAGCGACCTTCAAGTCTGAGGAGGCGCTCACCTCGGATGAGCCTGGCGCTCAGGTCCTCGTTGACCCTGGCAGCAGTGACGATGCTGCGGGCCTGCGCGGCGTACCTCAGCGTGCTCAGCGTCTCCTCCACGCTGCTGCCCGCCGGGCTGACCGTGGCGATCATGGCGGTTTTCGAGTTTCCACTCAGACTCTCCTTCAGCAGCCTGGGTGGAAAACAGCCACCGTCGGACTTAGATTCTGCAATGACCGAATAACGACGGGTACCGGGAAAGTACGAAGCATGCTAACAGGATAGTGTCATACACTGCTCCACCCCTCACTCAGACATGTAGAATGTTTTTGGTACTTGCAGCTCTTTTTACAGAGAAGCAATGGCACCCCACTCCACTACTCTTGCCTGGAAAATCCCACGGATGGAGGAGCCTGGTAGGCTGCAGTCCATGGGGTTGCAAAGAGTCGGACAGGACTGAGCAACTTCACTTTCACTTTTCACTTTCATGCATTGGAGAAGGCAATGGCAACCCACTCCAGTGTTCTTGCCTGCAGAATCCCAGGGACGAGGGAGCCTGGTGGGCTGCCGTCTATGGGGTCTCACAGTGTCGGACACGACTGAGCGACTTAGCAGCAGCAGCAGCTCTTTTTAGGTCTCTGAGCACTTTATTTCCTCTCACGCTTTGTATACTGTTTTGTGAAACAATAGTCTGTACAGAGATTTTAAAATGTGGGTAACTATCCAATCTTTAGTGAAATTCCTCTCCCCGCACTAGACTGGGAACTACTTCAGGGAGGGACCGTTGTCTGGTCTTTGGGTTTCTGGAGCCACCGTGATGATTTAAAGCACCTGCTTGGAAGTGCAGAAAATGATGGATGAACCTTATGAACACAAATTTTGTTCTCTGTTACTAATATATGCAAAAGCCTTACTTGAGAGGGAAAAAAAGTATGCGACTAAAAAGCCTATCTTTATGAATGCAGAATGAAATCAGTCTCAATTTTCAAAAGTTATTCTTAATTTTCAAGAGGCAGTAAAGAAAATCAGACTGTTCTGACAGATTTTGAAGTGGCGATTACAATATAATAAAGTATAAAGATACACTACTGTCAAGGAGAGATACATCCTTCTCAGAACTGAATATTAAATCTATCCAGATGTAATCTGAATGTAACATATCTGAAGTTACATACGCACTCATTAATGAAAAAATACTTTTGGAACCAGCCAGAGTGTGCTCAAGCCTCACTTTACACACACAGCAGTGTGTCTGGTGACAGCACACAAGCTCAAACATCAGTCACTAACGATAGTAAATACAGTAACAGAGGCCGACACTGACACGGCACACACCATGTACTAAGAGCTTCTGCACGTGTGCGCGCTCAGTTACTCAGCCATGTCTGACTCTTTGCGATCCCATGAATGGACTGTAGCCCACCAGGTTCCTCATTCCATGTGATTTTCCGGCAAGAACACTAGAATGGGTTGCCATTTCCTTATCCAGGGATCTTCTCAATCCAGGGATCGAACCTGCGTGTCTCCTGTATCTCCTGACCGGCAGGTGGACTCTTTACCACGGCACTACCTGGGAAGCCTCCGGGCGTTTTTACATCCGTCATCCACCCTCACTATCCCAGGTGACTGAGCAGCAAAGAACCTGCTGGCCAACGCAGGAGACTAGGGTTCAGTCCCCAGGTTGGGAAGATCCCCTGCAGGAGGAAGTGGCAACCCACTCCAGTATTCTTGCCTGAGAATCCCGTGGACAGAGGAGCCTGGCGGGCTACAGTCCATGGGACTGCAAAGAGTCAGACATGACTGAGCGACTGAGCACACATACACACACAACCCTGAAGACAGGTCTTGATATGCACCCGTTACTTCAGACAGGAAGCAGGCTGGAGCACCATCAAGGTCAAGTCCAGGCAGCCTGGCTCTTAAGTCCACAGGAGAGTCACGTGCGGTCGGCCTACGCCCCTTTCCCACACTACTCAGTGTCTCTGTTCAGTTCTTTACTCTTCACGAGCTACTTGCCATGTGAGGACAGACTCGCGGTAAGGAATGAACACGCTCCGCCCGCCAGCCTGCTCGGACAGTGCAGAGATGACCTTGCCCAGGGTCAGCAGCGACTTGTTAATGCTCACGCCTTCCTGGGGACAAGATCGAACATTTTAATCAAACCTGCTCCAAAACAAATTTATCTCACAAAATATATTTCTTCCCTAATTGCTCCTTGGAAAAAAAGCTACGACCAACCTAAACAGAGTATTAAAAAGCAGAGACATTACTTTGCCAACAAAGCAATGGCTTTTCCAGTAGTCATGTATGGATGTGAGAGTTAGACCATAAAGAAAGCTGATGCATTTGAACTGTGGTGTTGGAGAAGACTCGAGAGTCCCTTGGACTGCAAGGAGATCCAACCAGTCAATCCTAAAGGAGATCAGTCCTGAATAGTCATTGGAAGGACTGATGTTGAAGCTGAAGCTCCAACACTTTGGCCACCTGATGTGAAGAACTGACTCATCACTGGAAGACCCTGATGCTGGGAAAGACTGAAGGCAGGAGGAGAAGGGGACGACAGAGGATGAGATGGCTGGATGGCGTCACCGACTCGATGGACATGAGTTTCAGTAAACTCCGGGAATTGCTGATGCACAGGGAAGCCTGGAGTGCTACAGTCAATGACGTCACAAAGAGTCGGACACGACTGAGCTACCGAACTGAACTGAAAATTACTGAGTAAATACTTCCTTTCAGAATCGACTCGCTCCCTTTGGACTCAAAGTCTACTAACTGTCTCTGAAAAGCAATTATAACCAAGAACTATCGTTCCCTTTTTGAGCCTCAGACCACAGTCTATGAAGTGCAGGTTCAGAGAGGGGTGTTTTTGGTTAAGTATGCTGAGCTTGTAATCTCCTAAAAACACAGCCCTGGCCTGAGCTCCCCAACATGAGGGGTGCGTCACCTTCAGCTGCTCCCCGACGGTCCCAGCTGCGGAACACCGCTCACTGCCAGCCAGGTCCACGAGGTTTATGCGGCTCCGAATCCTGTGGTCCAGCTCCTCCCCCTCCACAAATTCTGTCTGGAGCAAAGGGGCATTAAAATAACACATCATAAGTTCTTTCGTGACTTGCCATCACCATAAGAAGTCTGCAAAACAGAGAGTCAGGCAAGATCACAAACACAAGGGATAAAGAAAGTATCTCCGTGAATCCATGACAACTCATCAGAACACACTGAGCAGCGCTGGATTATTCCAAAATAAAAGCAGTGACTTCAAAGGGCCAGAGACCTGTAACTACTCAATTACATTAAGGAAACAACAATAGAGAAGAAGCTTAATTTATAAAAGTGTTGTTTACCCCAGCATTGAAGTAGCAAAATGTTTAAAAGCAACATAACTGTCCAACATCTGAGAAAAACCTGAGGACTTGTAATAGTCAAAGGAATACTATGTAGCTACGGAAAACAGTATTTTGCAAATAATTTTAAAGCCATGAAATTGCTACAGATTTTGTAAATTTATGATGTGTGGTTGTAAAACAAGTGAAAGATTATATCCTAAACTGTTGAGGGGGTTTATCTGAGTGGTGCAACCTATGGCTAAATTTATTTTGGCTGTGCTGGGTCTTCACCGTGGCTCATTGGCTTCCCAAGTTGCAGCATACAGGCCCTAGAGCAAGAAGGCTCAGTAGTTTCCGTGTGCTGGGTCTTAGCTGCAACATATGGAATCAAACCCGGTCCCCTGCACTGGGAACACAGTCTTATCCATTGGACCACCAAGGGAGTCCCTGCATTATTTAAAATCCTTTACTTTCTGACATGTTTTTTCAGATACAAGTATTATGTATTATTGATAATATATTACCATATATTGATATGATGCGAGTCATTGCATGTATGTCCTAAAACCCAATTATGTTACATACTTATGTGACCATGCTTTTACCTTTGATTTAAAGGAGGAAATAAGGACAACATGCAACTTGAATACAGTGAGCATCTTTCCTAGGCAAGCCCTCAGCGACAGGGTACCTTGGCCTGGGTCATCACCAGGGTGACCACGGAGTGAGAGCGTGAGCTCTTGTCGTTCATGCCGGTGGCGGCCGTGGCCTTCTGCTTGCTCCCCAGCTGCAGCCAGGCCTGGTGAGGGAGGCGGGACGAAGGTCAGACGTGCCGGCAGGGGCCGAGTATGAAGCAAGCACATATACACACACCAATAATCACTTTGCAAAATAAAATTATCAATACATATTTATCTACTCATTTGTATTACCATTTTCCAGTTGTTTGTTTTCTTTTTCTGTCTCAGAAACTTGAATCAGGAGATAATACCTTGAAAAGGTTACTTCTACAACTCTAAACTGACATAATCAATTTAAGGTTTTAGTTTAGAAGAGCAATTCTGTTCATTAAAGTTTACACAAACAAAATCAGTTGATTATAAATTAACAAGATTAACCTTTTATTTATGAGAACAGCAAGTAAGGGGAAATATTCTCATGAGTATTTATGACTCTGATCTTTCTATCTAATGGAGAGAAGACAAAATACAATCAACCTTACCTGGATATCAGAATAAGAACTGACAACATTCCTATTTTAAAAAAGCAAAAAGACAAAATCCATTTTACTGATGATTCATCACACCCCTGCTCTTATAAAACCACCACCTGTCAATTACATAATTATTCCATGGATATCACAATGGAATAGATATTTTTATATTGATTGTGACAGAGCCTTTCATTTTCTCCATTTTAAAAGGTAGGAAATAAAATACAATGCTTTAATTTTATCTAATGTTTTAAAATATGATTTTTCTTAATATAATGAAGAACCTTAGCATTTGAACATTGGAATATCCAAGTCTAAGACATGAGACCAAAAGATAAACTTTAACCCTTATGTTGGCAGAGGTACCCACATACACACATAGGGTGTGGTTCAGCAAAGGTGTATGTACAAGTACACATGGGTGTGGGTTTCTGGCTGTCGTGGGTCTCAGCACAATTCCAGATTTACTAAATGGAGTTAAATCTTTTCTCATCACTCTTCTGTTCCCTTAAAAAAGCATTTGGAGTTGAAAGCCAAACAAATGACTGTCAGTATAGTTCTAACTCTAAGCATTCAACTCCGTGCCTTCTCCCCTGCTCGGCTTAAAGGGACAGATAAAACAAGCGGCTCAAGAAGGAAAGCTGAACCTAGTGGGTAAGCGGGGGAAAGAGAGAAGTCAGATAAAACTCAGGTAACTCCCACTCGGCGTGATTAGTCCTCTGTGAGAACGCTTCACAGGCGCCCTGAGAGAGAAACACAACGAGAAGCAGCTAACTCTCCATGTGGAAAAAGAAGGGACGTCTAACTGGAGCGCATTAAGGCCAGAAGACAGCAGTGACGCAGCTCCTCCAAGCTGGGGCGGGGCGGGATGCTTAGGAATACAACACTCCATGCCCGCCCACCGCACTCACGTGGACAGGCCCCACCCGCCCGCCGCCTGCACTCATGTGGGCAGGCCCCGCCCACCCACTGCCCAGACTCACGTGGACAGGCCCCGCCCCCCTGCCCACACGCCACACTCACGTGGACAGGCCCTCGACATACGGGCCCGAGGCGGGGTGCTCCCGCACTCGCAGCTGTGGGCAAACATAAGCTGTGTTAGCACAATACAGATATTCTATATAAAATGGGCTTCTAATCATCTTTTCTTCTATATTTTGAGTCTACAGTAAAAAAACTTGTCTCCACTTTGCCCAGAAATAAACATAAAGGTTCTCACAGAAACACACCTTCAAGGCACCAGGAAACTGCCTCAGCATCACGAACCAGTCCCATTCGCAGTGTCTGACAGTGTGTTTACTGTGACATCAAATATCTTACAGGTTTATTATTCTCAAGTCCTGCCGTAGCTACTGTTCATGTGCTTTTAAGTGGCTTTCCACAATACATTCAATTAATTTCAGTTAACATCTTTTTCAGTTTCACATTATACATTTTACACTTTATGAGCAGAAATTTTAAAACACATAGAAGTCTTAGAAGGAAATGCTAAATTTTGCTTAAGTCTCTAGATGTTGCCAAAGGCAGACTGAGTGACTTTGAGCAAGTGACCTCTTCAGATTGTAGCTTCTCAAATCTCCACGGTTCTTTTCAAAACTAAAAATCTTTTCATTATAATAGCAGGTTTTTAAAAAGTTTATGCCTTGTGAAACTTTCTATTTCACAGAAAACCTTATCTCTATCAGCTTGCTAAATAATCCAGTGAAATACATATTCTTCAAAAACAAGGCTTTTTTTTTAAACTGCTACTCTTTTTTTGGCTTCACAGACTTTTAGGCATTTTATATTTGACATGTGTGGTCCAACTAAATCTTGGAATATTTCATCTTTAATACTGACATAATACTTGCTTAAGTAAAATGAGGTTACAGTTAATAACTCATTTAATGTCCACTAACAATAATGTTCAGTTTATTCAGTAAGTGGCAATGCAGTTAGACTGCACATCGAAGCATGTGCTATCATATAAGAGCACTGCAGTAATTAAGCCATGTATCATCTTGAGAACTGAGAACTAATATCATTCTATGCATCAATAAAAACAAATTAAAAACAGTAAGTTTTTAAATCTTACCGTTTGCTTTCTCTGCCCATTTTCTCCGTTACAAACGAGAAGGTCATGAATCCTTTCATTGTAGACTTCAAAGAAGCTCATCTCAAGGTGGTAGCTGACCTAGCAGAAACAGAAGCAAAGCAAACAGTTTATCTGAAAGTCCTTGGATTTCTTACACATCAGATGTCTTAAGGCTCTATGATCCCCACAGAAGCGCTTCCCAGGTGGCTCAGTGGTAAAGAACCCGCCTGCCAAGGCAGGAGACAAGAGACCTGGGTTTGATCCCTGGGTGGGGAAGAGCCCCTGGAGGGGAAAACAGCAACCCCACTCCAGTCCTCTTGCCTGGAGAATCCCATAGACCGAGGAGCCCGGTGGGCTGCAGCCCACGGGGTCACAAAGAGTCGGACACGACTGAGAGACCTGTCAGGCAGCACACACGCACATATCTCCACAGAAGGAATTCTTACAATTCGACAACAGGAACACAAACAGCCAATTAAAAAACAGGCATTTCTCCAGAGCAGATGCACAGTCAACAGACACAAGAAAAGGTGCCCAACACCACAGATCAGGAGGGAAAAGCAGGTCAGAGCCACGGTCAGAAGCCACTTCACACCCACAAGGACGGCAGCAATCAAGGAAACAGAAAACAGCGAAGCTGGTGAGAGTTGGAATCGGAACCTCCAGGGCTGCGGGTGGGAATGTAAAATGGTCCCGGTGTCTCGGAAAACGGCTGACAGTTCCTCAAAACGTTCAGCATAGACTTATTATATAACCCAGCAATTTCACATTTACCCAAAAGACTTACAAATAAATTCAAATAAAAATTACTCAAATAAAAATTGTACACCAATATTCATGGCAGCACTAGATAGTGGGTTGGCCAAAAAGTTCCTTTGGGTTTTCCATCAGATGGTATAAATAAACTTTTTGGCCAACCCAATAGCTAAAAGATAAAAACAGCCTAAGCATCCATCAACAGATGAATGGATAAAGAACACACAGTGTATACATACAATGGAATACTACGGACCACAGGAAGAACGAAGAGCTGATACCTGCTTACCCTCATGAACCTCGGGCTGCAGGATACTCCATTTACAGGAAATGTCCAGAATCGTAGGAAAATTAGAGTCTCAGACTACCAGCCAAACCAAACCAAACAGACTCTCCATCAGCTTTTCAGCAAGTACACACACATACATGCACACGACTGCCTCCTGACACATTCTGGGGGGCTCTTCTCATCAAGCAAACGTGGGAAGAACTGGCCTTACAGGCTGCCTGGCAGAGAGCTGACGGCACGCAGGACTGGGCGAGGGCATGGGCACCCGGTGCCAGGACAGGGCAGGGCGTGAGCGGCTGGGACCTCGACCCTGGGCTGAGTCTGCAGGCCGCTCCCCAGCCTCCTGTTGCTGCTGTCATAACCCTGACCCCTGCTGTTCTTAGGGAGGGGCGTGCGCCCCCCGACCGCAGACACGCACGACGGGCGGGGTCACTGCGCACCTCCATCCGCACAGGTGATAGAGCCGAGGAAGCGGAGAAGACCACGGAGAGCGCCCTCGCCTCTGCCCACCAGGAGGAACCGCCCCGCATCTGGAGCCCGCTCCCACACCACCGTCCCAGAGCAGAGGGGCCAGAAAGCAAGCCATCTGCTGAGTTCTTCCTTAGCCACGACTCTGATTTTAACTTGGTTTGACTGTTTTCTACTCGAATGAGAAGGCTTACAGAGACCATGAGAACATACCTCTTGGGTTTGTTTTTTGGCTATTTCAGCAAAAAGATCTTCACAAAATCTTGGAATTATTCCTGGTTCTTCATTAAAGCCCATCATCCTAGAAAATACATTATGAGTTGGGGGAAGTAAAACTAATTACGTTTTAACATTCTTTGCAGGGAAAGTAAACCTAAATTTCCTCTTCTATAAAGTGGGGTAAGTAAAAAAAGGAATAAATAAAGCGGGGTAATTAAGAACTATCTAATTCAGAGCCATCTAGCACAGGGCCTGGAATATAGTAACAACTCAATAAATGTTAGCTACTATTAAAATTCAGGTATTTCCTCCCAGGGCAGGTAGTAGAGCCAGACCACTGATGAGATGACTTGCTTGTGATTCTCACAACACAACTTCCAAAAGAACCTCTCTGAGCTTCAGTTTACACAAGAGATAGAATTTACAGTAAGGCGGGGTCAATGATACTGACAAGGTAAACAGTATCTCACGCATAAACAGAAGCCCAGAGATTAAGCAACCTGCAGAACTGGAGTGTAAAATGGATTAGACTTAGCCCAGAGCAGTGCAGTTTCAAAAAGATATTCTATCAAACTACGTTCTTCTCACAAAAGATACGAATGTTTCTGGAAGGTCAGATTCACAGCACAACTCACGTGTATGACTTTCCAGAGCCAGTCTGGCCGTACGCGAATAGACAGGTGTTGAAGCCTTGGAAGGCCTGTCCCAGCAGTGGGGCCGCCAGTGCCTGGTACACGGCCGCCTGGCTCGCGAAGCGCGGGTGGCGCGCGTCCACGGACCAAAAGGAAAGGTCATACGCAAAGCTGTAAACCTGTCGCGTGCCGGGGTGCTCCACAGCGATTTCCTCCCCGTCCAGGAGGACCGCCTGAGGCGCCCCTTCTCTCTTCTCCCTTCCAAAAGAAGCGCAGAGAAAACTATCGTTATTGCAATTATTCTGAGTATTATTTCCACAGACTATAATAAGGACTTCAGACTAAAGTATCACGTTCCTCCAGGGCAAGACGGTGCTTTAGATTCTATGGAACGTGCAGAGCAGCACAGATCATAATAGCGGCTTCCCAAAATCTATTTCCACAGCTCCAGCGCCCCTGCTCAAAGGAAAAACGGAACTGCAGGTTTCTTATCCAGAAAATTCCCCTACTTGTACAGGATTTTCCATCTTCTTCCTTTTCCTCTTAAGTTCTCCCTTTTCTCATCCTGTCCCCTGAAATCTGCCTGTACCTGTAGTTCTAACCTGGAAATGTATTCAAAAACATCATAAAGAATTTCTGAAGGTACGAATCTATACAAAGCTGGCAAAAAACAAAAGCACAGTTTCAACAAACTCAGATACAAGTTTGAATTGAAGTGTCTTTGGGATGCTAGGTACGTTTCTGTGACTCCAAAGGTCCTTCCTCCTTAGAATCATCTCCCTTAAAACTCTGACTCTTCACATCCACCCCGCTTCTATCTCAGACTCAGGAGGAAATCTTTTTGCCCTACAGCTGCAGAAAAACAGAATGAACCCTTCTCTGGACACACAATTCTCTTTTTGCCCCCAACTCTGCTTAGATGAGAATTCACTGTGGAAACCACCCTTCTCGTCCCCCCCCCCCGTGCCCCTGCTACAGGCTGCTCTGGGGTCCACACTCTGTCCCTCTAGGACCAAGCCCCGTGTGGGCTGTCCCGCTGCTTCTCTGCCCTGGGCAGTCCTGAGGCTCTCCCCAAGTTCTCTTCCCTTATCACTAACCCCACATTTTCACCAAAAGGCTCACAGCCCTGCAGAATCTGCCTTAACTGCTGGCCATTCAGGTTCAAACCAGGGGTCTATCCACACTGCAGTCACTACGCATGCATGCTATGTTGTTTCGGTCATGCTGGACTCTTCACCGTAGCCCGCCAGGTTCCTCCCTCCGTGGGATTCTCCAGGCACGAATGTGGAGTGGGTTGCCATGCCCCCCTCCAGGCAATCTTTCAGATCTCGGGGTGGAAACCGTGTCTCCTGCGTGTCCTGCGTTTGCAGGTGGATTCTTGACTGCCAAGCCACCTGGGAAGCCGCAGGGGCACCAAACCCTCCTCCAACTCACTTGGATCCACAACAGACTTAAAAAAACCTACTGCCTCTGTGAAGTCTTCTCAGTTGTCCTCAAAGCATTTAAAAATAATCAGATGCTACAGTCGCACCTGGCGGGTCCATCTTTTTCTCACCCACAGGCACTCGTGGGGAGAGATTTTTTGCCATCAAAGTCAAACCTCACAGAACAGTGTGTGCACAACCATGACATGTCACAGACGATAAGGTGATGACCACCACCCTGGAAAGGGTTTTGGAAGGACCTATTTGGGGAACGAGTGACTGGCTGTTGCTCTTTTTAAGGGAAAGGTAGAGAAGACACCACCATATATTACAGATTTGAAAGCAGACTGCCTTAGAGACTAAAGTCATTCAGACTTTTAAAACATATATCTGGAGAAACTTACATTTGCAAAATATGGTAGTTTCGATTTTTTTATTTTATAGCCAATCATTGAAAATATCCACATACTACCACTGAACCGAGAAGTTCCATATGTAAAAAGGCAGCGCCGGCCGGCATGAAGACGCACCAACACGCTGAGCAGTTGGCCTTGGATTAAAAGCGGGTCACGTACCGGTTGCTGAAAGGCCTGACTCTGACGGCCACCGTCACCTGGGTGGTCTCCACTTTCAGGGGGTATGTTTCTGCAGAGGTTTTCTGAAGTGCCGTTTCTTCCCTAAGAAGGAATGTATTTTCACGCTCCCTTTCCTTTTGACTTGCGAGCAGAGAGCTCTGGGGCGTCTGTTTAACCTGAAGGGTGGGCCTCCTGTTTCTCAGAACCAAGGCAGCGGGGCCCCGAGGCTGCAGGACGCCACGCCTGGGTGTCGACCTAGGCTCTGAAATACACTTCGAGGGCGTCCTTTTCTCTAAGCTCTCAAATCTACGTGGAAGTTTCGAGGCTTCCTTCTCAGCACCCCTGTGATGCGAGGTCCCTGCTCCTGACACTTTGATCTCTAACCTGCTCTCGGTAGGCCTAATCACCAAGCTCGCTGCGCGAACAGCTTCAGTCTGACCCTGGGAACCGGTGGGCGCTCGCTCACGTAAGGACTTAAGGGCGACGTTCTCACCCGCCCCTCGGAGGGCAGAACGCGTCGCTGTGCATTTTCCATCAGCCTTCATTTCAAGGTCTTTTGGGTCTGGAGTTAAAGGTACAGAAGGTGCAACAGGCAAGTTTTTGTCACCGTTTACAGTCTTTACATTTATACCAGTTTCTGGTGAAGGCCGACTATTTTCTGTCCTGCTGCCCACATTCTGCGTTCCTTTCCACTTTTCCACACCCTCTGTCTTAGCCCGACGCTGTAATGCAAGGCGTGCTTCTGCCGTTCTCGCACCTGCGTCTCCCAACTCACGACCAAGCAAAGAGGCTTCCTTGCTCCTGGTCGCTCTCCTCTGAAGTGTCAACCTCCCCACAGGGTTAGGAGAGAGGGGCGTGTCTTCTGTTTTCTTAGAGGCAGAAATAACGTAAGTGCTGTTGATGTCTCTGGTCTTACTTGCAGATCTCAGTAACGGATCGTCATTTGCACACACTGACAAGTCCGACTTCGAGTGCAGCTTCAGCTTGCTGCCCTGGGGGAGGACACTCAGGGATGACGTCTTTGTGGAGGAAGAGATGCCAAGGAGATCGCTGTCATTTCCGCTGCGTGCAGTGGAAGCTGACATGGTGGCAGAAAGTTATTTTTAAAAAGAATGTTGCTGAAGAAATGTTAAGCTCTTCTTTAGACATTCATCTGACTTCCGGCCATTTCTTATGCAACAGTTTCCAAAATTATCTGCTAAAATAAAATAAATAAAATTTAGACTGCACAGATTACAAACAGGCTTCAAAAACATGAGGACCTTCCATGGGAAAGTGACTTCTCAGGGGCAAACATTAGGTCATGATCTCCACTGAGATATCCTTCCCAAGCAGCTTCGGACAAATCTCTGACCTCAAAGACCACACAGTCATTGCTCAACAAATATGTGCTAAGATCCCATGAGGTGCCAGGCCCTCTAGTGGATACTATGAATTTCAAAGACAAAACTCTATTTTCATTTCCTTAGTCTAGAAGGAACGTACAGATAAAGACTGTATCAGTTCAAATGTGCCAGGTGACTTAAAAAGATGTAAAAAGCACATTAAAGGAGATATAAGAATAGTCAATAAGCACATAAAATGATGCTCAACATCGTGGGTCATTAGGGAAAAGCAAGTCAAAACTATGATGAGATACCACATCATACCCATTAGGATGGAAACTAGCCAAAAAAAAAAAGCAGAAAACAAGTATTGACAAGGACATGAAGAAATTGGTATGCTTGTAAACTGTTGCTGGGAATGTAAAATGGTACAACCACTATGAAAAACAGTATGGATGGCCTCAAAAAATTAAAATTAGCATATACTAAGTCACTTCAATTGTGTCTTACTCTTTGTGACCCCAGGGACTGTAGTCCACCAGACTCCACTGTCTGCGGGGTTGTCCAGGCAAGAATACTGGAGTGGGTTGCCATGCTGTCTTCCAAGGGATCTTCCCGACCCAGGGATCAAGCCCACCTCGCTTATGTCTCCTGCATTGGCAGGCAGGTTCTTTACTAGTGCCACCAAATTAGCATAGGATCTAGCAATTCCACATCTGGGTATACACCAAAAAGGATTGAGAGTAGGGTCTCAAATGAAGAGATATCTGTATACCCATGTTCACAGCAGCATTATTCACAATAGATAAAATAGGGACACAACTTGAATGTCCACTGACCAATGAATGGCTTACCAAAACATGATATATTCATACAATGGAAAATTATTCAGCCTTAAAAAGGAAAGAAATTCTGCAATATGCTACAATATTGGTGAACCTTGAGGACATTATATTAAGTGAAATAAGCCAGTCCCAAAAAGACAAATAATATATGATACCACTTATATCAAGTACTTACAGTAGTTAAAATCATCAGCAGAAAGTATAATGGTGGTGGCTAGGGAAGGGAGAACGGAGAGTTTTTAATAGATGTAGAATTTCAGATTGACCCGATAACAAGAGTTATGGGGTGGATGGCAGTGATGACCATATATTTAAGGATGCACATTTTAAAATGGTTAAAATGATAAATGCTAGAAAAGAGAACATGTCAGCAGAGATTTTTTTTTTTTTAAGTGCCCCCCAGCTTGGGGAGCAGCAAGGGGGGACTGAGAGACAATCCAGCCCCAAAGTTAAAGACTGGAGTGAAGCATTTCCGCACCTGCTGAATGCACATGGCATGCAAGAATGCCTCAGGGAGATGAGTTTGAGAGGTGTCTCAAGGCAGATCATACCCAAATAAATACCAGAGACAATAAATATAAGCACTGTAAAGTAATTGCTTGTGTTGAGAGAACTTACGCAAGATCAGTTAAGTATTCAGCCTGCCCTCTAGCAGTTAGACAACAAAGTTGACAGGAATGTAAGTAAATATGTGTCAACAATATCTATCCAGTAGTCATATTTAGAAGAAAAGAGAACAGCAGAGACAGCTAAGAGGTCTGGCTTCCCCTCAACGCTGTATCCAACTGGTTATATTGATGTAAACAAGTCTTTAAATTTGCATGTCTGATTCTAACTTGCAAAATGACATCTGATCAAACTATCTCATTGTGAAGGCAAATAAAGGAACCCTCACTTAAAACGGAGCAGGGGCGGGGGTGGGGGGTATCTGAACAGGAGCCCTCAGGTTTTATCCCTTGCTATTCTTCACAGACTCTACAGGAAGAACCTACTTCACACCCCAGGGCAAAAGAGGAAGAAAGGTTTCATCCTCACCTAGCAACGGCCCAGCCAGAGAAAACTAGCAGCTGAGCCACTAGGAGGTCATCACCACCCAGGCTGTCCCTCTCCTCCAATGGACTGTCATTGAATTCCCTCCTTTTCTCCACACAGGCAGGCCTCATCTGGCTTAGGGGCTTCACTTCGTTGCCCCTTCTGCATTTTTTTACAAACAACATTTGTAGCGACTGTGTGTCAGCAAGTCAGCGCCATTTTCCCAAGCGAGCATCTGCTCACTTCAGGTCTGTCACGCTCTGGAAATTCTCACAACACTTGAAACGTTTCCATTAGATGCCACTGGTCAAGGTGATCTATGGCCAGTGGTCTTTGATGTTAGGAGGAGGACTCCCTGAAGGTTCTGATGATGGTTACCATTTTACCAACCAAGTATTCTAAACGAAAGTATGCATTGTTCTTTAGACATAATACTATCGCACACATAACGGGCTACAATATAGCACATATATAACTCTTCAATGAAACAAAACATTCAGGAGACTGGCTGCTGGTCTCCCTGAGCCCACACAATCTGGGACAAGTTGCCCCTCTCCTCGGGGCTGGTCCTCACTCGAAGCTCGCCCTGAGCGGCAGCTCTCTGCTGCTCCCACCTAGACTCTTCCTGCTAATACAGCAACTAACCCTCGTATTTTTAAAATCAACCGCAGAGATCATGACTCTGGAAGAACAAAACAACAAAGGTTCATTTTTAAGTAACCTGTGCAAGTTCTAAATCATTAACAATCACGCCAGGATCGAAGCATCTCCCATCACCTTCCAACTAAAAGCAGGCAATCTTTTAGTTAAAGATTTCCTGATGCGGAAGTAAATACAGAATCAAGAAGAGACTGAGGACTTGACCCGCAGCTGAAAACCGGCTGCTATTTACAAGGAGCAAGACAGCTCTGGGTTCGGGGAGGGGAGGGGGGTGCGCCCCGGGACACTGGAGGGAAGGGGTGCCCAGACCCCGGGGTGGGTTCTCAGCGGCCATCCAGCCGCCCTGCGGCCACGCGCCCCGAAGACGCCCTCCGAGGGGTCCGCGGCGGCGAGGGCGCGGCCCTCCCAGGAGAACCCCGGCCCGCCCTCCTTGGGGACCCTCGCACCCGTCCCCGGGGACCTCGCCCTCCTCTCCCCGGGGACCCCCGGCCCGCACCTCCCCGGGGACCCCCCGCCCTCCCCTCCCCGGGGACCCCTGGCCCTCCCAGACTCCCGAGCTGGCCACCCACCCCATCCCTTCCCGCACCGACGCGCCGCCCCAAGACCGCAGCCCCCACCTCGCAGGCTCCCGGCCTCCTAGCGCCGCTCACGCCTCCGCCGCCGCCCCGCGGTTTGAATGCGCGCCCCGCCCTCTGATTGGCTGCCGGGCACCGCGCACGCACGTCCTCCCGGAAACGCGCGCGCATCTCCTAGACAACGGCCCCGCCTCCCGGGCTGCGCGCGCGCCGAGGGGGCGCAGCCGTCTTGGAGCTCGGACGCGGACTGCGGGCGGCGCGGGCGCACTTGGGGAGCGGGGGCGCGCTCGGGAAGGCGGAGGCTGGGACTCCGAGCGGCGGGGGCGCGCTCGGGGACTTGGCGGAGGACCCGGACGTTGAGGCTCTTGTCCTGCCCCGGAGCAAAGTGAGCACCGTCCGTCCACGTCGCCCCAGAGCTTCTCTGTGCAGAAATAGCTGCTTGCACTGTTTATAATAGCCAGGACATNGGGACTCCGAGCGGCGGGGGCGCGCTCGGGGACTTGGCGGAGGACCCGGACGTTGAGGCTCTTGTCCTGCCCCGGAGCAAAGTGAGCACCGTCCGTCCACGTCGCCCCAGAGCTTCTCTGTGCAGAAATAGCTGCTTGCCCCCAAGGTAGTCACAGCCATTCACGCTTTTCTAGGCTTTCCTGTGCAAAGCCTAGTGATGGGAAGTGCGCTGAATGCCTTAGATGGAAGTTTTTCATTTAATCCTGAATATTTTACCAGGTAAATATTAATATGATCCCCCAGTTTACCAATGAGGGACTGAAGTTTACAGTTAAGCTTGTGAAAAATTAGACAGCTAGCTGGCGGGGTAACTAGAATTACAAACCCACCTCGTGAGATATCACTGAGTTTCTAGAAATATCCTAATAAGGTTTTGAAGCACGAAAAAATAAGTATATTTGCTGAAAACTAGATGAACGAGATGAACAGATGAACGAGAGGAACTCTAGTCAAAAAGATATTTTTAAGTAACTTTTTTAAACAATGAAAAGTGCAGATAAATTGGATTCAGTGGGATAGAAAGAAACTAGAATGGACTCAATGTATAGAAAAATTGAATGTATAATAAAATGCTTATTCTAAAACTCTCTAAAATCATTGTAAAATTTATTGATATTAAGTTATAGAGCAACCATCAGAAAAAAAAGAATGTACTATTTATCAGGTCTGTGGGAAAATGATCAAGTCTAGAGAGCTAAAGAAGATATGGCAAAGGAGAAGACTGAAATTTACATAAAAATTCTAAACTCATAGATAGTTCAAAATAATGAAAAGAAAATGTAGTAAATTAGAAAAATACATTAAATATAACAAGATATAAAGATACCTTTCAATATTACAAGTAAAAGAAGTTTATAAGTAGAAACTTATAGTTCAGTTCAGTTCAGTTCAGTCATGTCCGACTCTTTGTGACCCCATGAACCGCAACATGCCAGGCCTCCCTGTTCATCACCAACTCCCGGAGCTTACTCAAACTCATGTCCATCGAGTCGGTGATGCCATCCAACCATCTCATCCTCTGTCGTCCCCTTCTCCTCCTGCCCTCAATCTTTCCCAGCATNACCTTTGTTGGCAAAGTAATGTCTCTGCTTTTTAATATGCTGTCTAGGTTGATCACAACTTTCTTTCCGAGGATTAAATGTCTTTTAATTTCATGGCTGCAATCACCATCTGCAGTGATTTTGGAGCCCAAAAAAATAAAGTTAGCCACTGTTTCCACTGTTTCCCCATCTATTTGCCATGAAGTGATGGGACTGGATGCCATGATCTTAGTTTTCTGAATGTTGAGCTTTAAGCCAACTTTTTCACTCTCCTCTTTCACTATTTACTCAACAAGTATTTATTAAGCTTCTTTTACATGTCAGAGATTACACTAAGCAGTAGGGATAGAAGTGAGTGGGTGTGGACCCTCCTCTCAAGCAACTTACCAATTTCTGTCACTAGAAGTGTGCACTTTTAATTCTGATGCAAAAATCACTGGTACTGAAATTGTAAAAAAAAAATTCTTTTTTCACTTATACCTAAACTTTTTTTTTTTTACAGTTGCATTTAATGGCTGGGTTTTACATTTTATTTTTATCTGAATTATTTTTGTGTGTACACCCACTCACTTCTATCCCTACTGCTTAGTATAAGGTCTAACATGTAAAAGAAGCTCAATAAATACTTGCTGAGTAAATACCAGACCCCTCTAGAAAGCAATATGATCATTTATAGAAGGAAACATGAAAAGATTCATAGTCTTTGCCCTAGTTACTTACTGAACTACAAAAATTTATTCTTAGAAAATGTTTCAGTAGAAACCAAATAGTTTGTGGGCCCCAAACAGAAAAACTCTGCATGGCTTACCATAAAAGCATGGTTAAAAATAAGGAGGAAAATAATAAATTATATTACAACAATTAAAGTCATTAAAGTTACAATTACAAATTAACTGGCAGACAGTGCATGGCCTGAGGACCTGCTTCCACCCCAGACTGAGCACACGATGGGGCAGGGCTTTGTCTGTGCCCACTGTGTCCCCCGCGCCTGGCACAGCATTCACAGGACACGCTTCCTGGCCACACGTCCCTCTTCTTCCTGCTCTTCACGAAGCTCCTGATTTAATTCCAACTATGGGAACAATCCTCAGCAGAATCAAGAGCCCCCTGTGAGCCAGCTCCGGGTTACACAAGAGGGATTTCAGTCTGTTATTTATTACACTGAGATGGTGCTCCTCTCTTCAGATCCTGCCCACAGCTCGCCAGCAGGGAAAGTCACTTCTGGGGACCTCCACTTCTGCATCTGGGAATTGCAGATGCAAATGCCACCTACCTTAGAGAGTCATCGTGAGGATTAAATTAGATTATGCGTGCAAAGTGCTTAGTGTGGAGCCGGGTACAGGATTATGCTCTGCAAATGTAAGCTCCTAAATTGCATCGCCTGAAAACACTCTCCAAAATGCTGCGGAGCCCTGGCCAGTGCTGACGCACCGCGACCATGCATGCACAGGCTGTCTGCTGCAGTGATGACACATTTTACTTTATGAAGGTTGAGGATTATGACTTAATCCCTAGAAATAACTGCAAGATGAAATAGCTTGTTCTTTTGTACGGGCCTCACTGGACGCTATTAAAAATCAGGAGAAAGTAATGAAAAACCATCTCCAAGGGAAAGCAGAACTAATCTCCATTTTGCTCTAATATGATTAGCATCTTTTAGAACTTCGGATCTTCTATGCTTTTTGATGGAAGACAAGAAAAAGGAATCTATACACCTGAAACTAACATGGTATTGTAAATCAACTCTACTTCATTAAAAAAATAAAATAATATTGAACTAAAAATAAAAAGGAGTCTAGAGAATGCAGAATGCAGTCTAGAGAATGCACACAAGGTTCAAGGGTGAGCAGCCCGCAGGCAGCGCACTTCATCTCCAGCCCTGGGGCCTCTAGTCTAGACTTTGGGAACACTTCATCTCCTCCAACATCCATACACGTGGTGTCAGAGCGCTGCCCCTTCCCCCCGGTTCAGGCAGACGGAATATTTCCTCACTATGACACAGCTGCTGGTTAAAACGCCCTGTAGTTCAAACCTGTCTTCAGATTTGACTCCTTAAAATAATAGCTCCTCCAGGAATCTAAAGTCATACAATCTGCTTGCCACTTGGATCACTTTACCTCTGTATCCCTTGGCTTCTTGGCCTGTAAAAGGACGAGATGTCAATAATAACTAGAAAAACCAAACCAGACAGTGTAAGAGAAATTATTAGAAACAGACGACACATGACTGTAAATTTTAATTGATGCATTTTGCTTTATTGATTATGCCAAAGCCTTTGGCAGTGTGGATCACAACAGACTAGAAAATTCTTAAAAAGATGGCAGTACCAGATGACCTGACCTGCCTCCTGAGAAATCTGTATGCAGGTCAAGAAGCAACAGTTAGAACTGGACATGGAACAACAGACTGGTTCCAAATAGGAAAAGGAGTACGTCAAGGCTGTATATTGTCACCCTGCTTATTTAACTTATATGCAGAGTACATCATGAGAAACGCTGGGCTGGAAGAAGCACAAGCTGGAATCAAGATTGCCGGGAGAAATATCAATAACCTCAGATATGCAGATGACACCACCCTTATGGCAGAAAGTGAAGAAGAACTAAAGAGCCTCTTGATGAAAGTGAAAGAGGAGAGTGAAAAAGTTGGCTTAAAACTCAACATTCAGAAAACTAAGATCATGGCATCTGGTCCCATCACTTCATGGCAAATAGATGGGGAAACATTGGAAACAGTGAGAGACTTTATTTTTTTAGGTGCCAAAATCACTGCAGATGGTGGTTGCAGCCATGAAATTAAAAGACGCTTACTCCTTGGAAGAAAAACTATGACCAACCTGACAGCATATTAAAAAGCAGAGACATTACTTTGCCAACAAAGGTCGTAGTTAAAGCTATGATTTTTCCAGTAGTCATGTATGGATGTGAGAGTTGGACTATAAAAACTGAGCGCTGAAGAATTGATGCTTTTGAACTGTGGTGTTAGAGAAGACTCTTGAGAGTCCCTTGGACTGCAAAGAGATCCAACCAGTCCATCTTAAAGGAAATCAGTTCTGAATATTCATTGGAAGGACTGATGCTGAAGCTGAAACTCCAATACTTTGGCTAGATGTGAAGAACCAACTCATTGGAAAAGACCCTGATGCTGGGAAAGATTGAAGGCAGGAGGAGAAGGGGACGACAGAGGATGAGATGGTTGGATGGCATCACTGACTCTATGGACATGAGTTTGAGTAGGCTCCGGGAGTTGGTGATGGACAGAGAAGCCTGGCGTGCTGCAGTCCGTGGGGTCGGAGTCGGACGTGACTGAGCTACTGAACTGAACTGAACTTCTTTAATCCACCAGAGGGAGACAAACCAAAAGAAAACGTTTAGAAAGTGTTCAGAAGTCAAGCGAGCACATTCAAAGACTTCTACTAAGATAAAGAAAACTGATTAACTCATGCTAATTAATGGTCGTAGCATGCAAATCTATCGCAATTTATCCAAATTCATAATTTTTAAATTATTAAAATAAGCATATGTTATCTGGCTGAACAAAAAAAAGAAAAAACAACAC